GCAATTTAAACGTCGAAAAATGATAAAAATATTTTCCACGAAACAAATGGAATTAACTCTCGACTAATATGGTGGAAAAGGGTTGAGTAGTTAGACTAGAATATATATATATATATATATATATATATATATATATATATATATATATATATATATATATAGATACTTTTGGTTTCGCCATTAGGCTGGTTATTATTGGCATCTATCATCCGGATCTCCTTGACGCTATGATCAAACGGTCCGGAATGATGATCCGGAGCCTCGAAGCCCTTGCCGCTAAACACGCCACACCCACCCACTTCTATCGTCGGTGAAGCGTTGGAGCTCCACACGAACATGTGGAGGGTCGGGCCACGAAAGGACCGGACCAAGTGCACGTCAAAGGGTCCAAAGTTGGAGTGTCGGGGCACTCCCATCACCGTGCAGAAATCCAAGTTGTTGAAGTTGGACCCCCCTCGGACTCGGAGTCAATTCACATTGTGAGCTTAGGCTATAGATCTCCACTCCATTGAGGTTCGAAGGCCTTGGCGTCATCCTTGAGAACGAGCCGCTGCCGGGCCCTAGGTTGAAGGATCCCCTCGACGAGTTCGGCTTCCTCACGGTGACATGTAGCTTCCCGTCATTGCCGACCTTCAGTATGAGCCTCGAGGAGGTCCCCCGACTGTTGAGTGAGACAGACGTCCGGCTCGACATTGAACGACACTATGGACGCTGCAATCTCGGGGAACTGCTCTAGGATGATGAGGATCTTCGCGCCCTGTAACGACGCACTGGAGCACGTCAAAGCGGTGAAGCAGAGAGGTTCATGGCAAACGGGTTGTTGGTGGAGATGAAGTGGAAGGAGAGGAGCCGGACGGCAAAGGTGGCGACGCAGCGGTCAATGCCGCAGCACTGGTCTGGGGAGAAGATCCTCAACCACTGCACAGAGCCTTAGGCCAGGATCACCGCCGCGTACGGCGGCGCCACCGCGGCTGGCACCAAGTAAAGTACAAAATGGAGGCCCGATGCTAGAGACTGAAGCCACATTAAGAGAGACAACAACCATCATCCCATTTTATACCGTGGACCGGCGACACGACACATCATTTTTCTTGATGCTCAAATCATAGTTTTATTCGATCAACCGAATAATTTGAGGATCTCGTTAGTGAATGTTTTCAATTACTATATAAGATAATGGAAAATTAGAAGAAACGATGGTCCAGACACTTTTAGACAATGAAAGCGCAATAATTGTTAATGAGAGAGCGCTAGGGGCCCTTGGTAACATCGATCGTAGCACTAAATGGATGCGCATAAATTCCTTAGCGGTGAGAAAAAGCGATATCACGAAAGTCATGAATATGTGTACTTACATCACCAAAAGTTGTTATGAGACTAATGAGCACGTACTGGGTACGACGGGTCAATTTGTTACGTAAAGAGAGAAATTGTGCGACGAGTAGGAAAAGGGCGTGTGGGCGTATTAGTGCCGGACATCTCTTCATGAGCACGACCCCGGATCGATTCCGGAGAGATGGAAGAGACGTTAGCCGACCTTAGAGTTTGGGTCAAGAAAGTTAAATAGAAGAGTCAAAAGAAAGGTCACGTCAACAAAAAAAAAAACCGGGTCCATCCATTTGTGCTAATAAGGAAAGAAACGAAGGGACTCGATTGATCGAATAGATTACCATGCACACGCGACTTTTGGTTTCAATCACTCACGTGAGTCCATAACCGATGGACGTGTGATCATGGACCCGACGATGCTTTTGTCAAAGCGAAAGCGTGTCAACCTGAAATTTGAAAATTTCCCGACTTATCGATGTTGCGCGACGAAAAGGTAATTGAATAAGAATTTTTTGGACTGTCAAATTGGGAGGTATCTTGCCAGGTCGTTCAAACGCGAGGGACCGACACCTTTGACTTTAGAGATCGCTGCGAGGATGCATGACAAGGAAATCCCAATTTGGTTTCTAGCAAGTGCGTCAATGGAGGAAGCGAGTCGTTGTTGCTCACCCCTACACGACACGGTCAAGTTTTGCAAGATTTGTACAACCTCCACATCTATTTCGACCCGCTTATGTTATCACTAATCAAAGATAGTCTCTCTGTTATTCGCTCCACTTGATCGATACCCACCAAAAGAGCCGGTCCTCGTCATCACGTGTTGACTTCAGAGTGGTTAGATAGCAATCTAGGTCGAATCATGTCGAGGTCTCTCTTTTTCCTCGAGAGAATTATAAAATCAGTCCCGAATCTATTGTACGGATGCCAATTCAATCTTAAACCTTTTCGATTTTGTCAATTTAGCCCTATACCTTTTCGGGAAATTCTAAAATAATCCTTCTGGTCAATTCTCGTTGGAAATCGTTGACATAGGCGGTCCGGTCATCGTCAGCCATCCTACTTGGTACACTGTCATGTCAGCAATTTTATGCGAAAATTTGCCCTAAAGAATTACATTGGAATTACGCGCAAAGGTTTAGAACTTAATTGGTAAAATCGAAAAGTTTAAGACTGAAGTGGCATTCGTACAATAAGTTCATGATTGATCGGACAATTCCCCTTTTTTGTTCCCATCAGTTGCAACAGTAGAGGCCCTATACATGCAAATTTCTATATAGTATGCATAAAGAAAACGTGCGGAGAATCTAATTGCATTGATCTTTCGAGCAAGCTGGAAAGTATCACCTGTCTATCATCTTGGAAAAAAGGGTTAGTTGCTTATGCATCCATTGCTGATCATTGCTCCTTCATTATGCATAAGTTTCACATGGAGTGAGGGAACTTGAACTATTCAAATCATAACGTCATTCATTTAGATTAAAAGTAACTTTGAAGGCCGCCTCGGTCGCTCTGCGAGCGATTTGCCTTACTGAATCCATGGGAAATGAATTGTTCACATTTATAAAGAATAATTGATCTGAAATTTCGATATCTTGTGGCGCAAAAAAAAAAAAGCAAATAACATGGAAAAGGCCCTTTTATGTGGTTTGGAATTCGAAGAAGGTCGGGGACCTTGCCTTTTTTTATTTCAAGATCTATTACGAAATATAATAAAATCCCAACTTGCATATCGAAATTCAATTTTCGGGCATGTTGAATTACGAAAATTACAATACGTGAACCATAAATTTTTTTCAAACGGAAAATTAAAAGGGAAAAAGTAATTCCAGGCATACCCCAAAGTCACTAGCTTTGGTAAGATTGATCCCTTTTTTATAAACTTGGATGGAAAGAGTACGAATGTCACCGCATAAATCTAACTTGAACATAACACGAAACATGGGAAAATCTGCCCAAAAAAAACAAAACATAATATGTCGTGACTATATTTCTTCTCTCTTTTTTTTTTTTTATCACAATACACAGATTGTTGCCTCGAAACCGGTCATCCCCTACTTTTTCTTCGAGGAAAGAAAATATTTTTATTAATATAACAAAATGAAGCGGTCCCTTTTTTTTTTGGGCCAACATATAGCATGTCTTCCATGGACGAAATTCACCGCCCTACAACACCTTTTTCAAAGATGTGGGGGGTAGGATCGTTTAGTGGGGGGGAGCATCAAAAGCGAAAAAAGCAGATCAAGAAAAGAACACTCCCCTCTTTCCTTCCTTTTGACTCCTGGAGCTTTTCTTGAAAAAAGCTTTGATCACATTTTCCTCTCGTCAGCTTCTCATGAAAGCCGTTTCCGGTACTACCCGAAGTCGTCAAAATAATTTCTTGCCCGAACGGCCAATCCCCAGGCCCGCCAGGATGCGTTTGGGAGTGCTTTAGGAGAACGGCTTTTACATTTATTTAGACGAAATTCTTTGACCCGTGGTGCTTTCAAAAGAACCAGAGGGAGGGTTCGGACACAACTGACTTTCGGTCCATTTTCGTAAAGCGGACTTCGAAAACAAGGTAAAACTAACAAAAAGAAGGGACGAAGGAGAGGCCAAGCATCGCAGGATCCTACCGGCGTTGACCAGAGAGACAAGGCGACCGCAGGTGACGAGTTGTACGAGCTTCTCAAGGCTTACGACCCCTAGGAACGGCGAGATGACTAGAGGTGAGGTGAGGCGAAGGCAGCGGTATAGTCACGGGAACCTAGGCGACGGGCGCCAATCGGATCTGAGCTCACTTGAGCCCTTGCATCAATGCCCTTGTTCGTCGGTCAGATACGTTTTGTCGGTGAGGGACAAATTGAGATTTAGATAGCTTAATGACGGGCAAAATCGAAAGAAAGCAAATTTATCGAATTCATGAAGTAGCATTTTTGGAATGCTAAAAGTTCAAAACTGGTCCTAAGTTGCCTTCGAACTCTTGACTCAAACTCAAAGCTCAACTTTGCACCGAAAGTCCTTGAAATTGTGCTGCCAAATACCAAAACTTTGACTTATGGGCCTTCGGAGGAAACACACTTTTGTGCTTTAGAAAAGGGAAAAAATAAGAAGAAAATAAAATATAAAAGAAAAAAGATAAAAAGGCCATGAGCTTTTCAAAGTTCCCATGTTTTTTATTCTGGCTTTCCTTGCATTAAAGTGTGAAAAAGAAGATATTATAAAGAAAATATTCACAAAGTTTATATTATCACTTCTAAGGATCTATCCAAAATAGCACGGAAAATGTGTAGAAGCTTTGTTTTTTTTTTTTCTTTTTTTCTTTTCCATAACCGTCCTTCGGTTTTATTTCTAATTTTTCTGCTAGACTATTATTTGACGCGACTCCATCATCACTTGAAATGTCACTAACTTAATTTAGCATAATGAGTTTAGGCAATGACCATAGGCAAACAAAACATGATCGCAAGATTCCACACCTAAAAACCACGCTAAAAATCGTTACAATTTCCCTATCGGCCTATGTCGCGAGGCTATCTCGCGGGACAAGCCGATGAACCCTTTCGACGAGTAGAGAACCTTCAATAGCGAGCGACGTACACGAAACCACAAATCAAAGAGACTTACCACCGCCGACAACCACGACAATCAAATTCGAATATATCGATGGAGCAACAAAAAAAAAAGGGAAAAAGAAAAAGAAAAAAGAGGAGGAGCGAGCCAAATTCCTCGTCCATCTTCTTCATTTATTCAATGGAGGAAACTTCAGGAATCGGAATAATATAATGAGGGTATATTTCCATCCAGAACCTCCTTCCCACTCCCTAATGTCGTCCCCATTAGACATTAGACTAAGCTATATATATATATACCTAGGTCTCTCTCTCTCTCTCTCTCCTTTCTTTTTTTCAATAATTCAACACTTGCAAAAAACGAACAATTCGGACCAACCCTAATTGGCCCCTAATGGAGACACAATCCTAATTTCCCGGGGATTGGCCCTATGTCCGCACATCTTTGTCGCTTCGTTCTTCCCCCCATGCGATCCCATGAAATCCTCACGAGTGCTTCCCGAATCGCCCCCACTTGTCGGTCGATCTTGCAAATCGTGTGGGATTATGCCTCGATTGGCCTCCTTTTGTGACTTTGTGCTTGGAGGCGGTGGGGGCGCGGAATATTTAGGGAGGGAACTTTTATAATCCGAGAAGAATGTAGTAGACAAGCGTGATTGGCAGGGCTATCAGCATCCCGAATATGACCCTGCGAAAAAGAGAGTTTGGCAATGTTTTTCAAGAGAATAATAGGAGAGGTGCTCGGCCGCAATGGGGGGAGGGGGGGTAAAAAAAATCGGAAGATTTGATGCGTTCGATATCTTTGAAAAGAGGGGTTCGATGGGTTCGGGACTCACGCGGTGCTGAGAATGGCCGGATGGACGTTGTACTCCTTGGCGAACACGAACGGGACTATTCCTTGCGGGAGCGCCGCCTGTTTATCATGGGACAGATCGTGAGAAATTTTGGTTTCGCGCGAATTGATCCCGCGGCGATGCTTCGAACGGGAATCGAATGCGAGATCTCGCGCTTCTAGACACGCGAAACCCGGGATTATTGTCCAAAAAGTCCTAGACCTATTGTACGGCAGCTAATTCTATCATAAATATTTCAATTATGCCAATTTAGTGTTAAACCTTTTGAAGATTTGTCAATTTAATCCTAAATCTTTCTTTTGTGTCGATTTAATCCTAAACTTTTTGAAGGTTTACAAATTTAGTCTTAAACCTACTATTTGGCTATTTGACCGGAAAGACTACATTAGCAAATTGCCAAATGATTTAGGACTAAATTGGCATAATTGAAAGGTTTAATACTGAATTAGCCTCCGTACAATAGGTTTAGGATTTTTTGGATAATTTTCTCCGTGAAACCCTGTACTTTGAATTCCTCGATAGCTCGAATGAAATTAACGAGGCTTAGGATACATGTCACGGCATGTTTGTTTTCCTCTAAACGTTTCTGGCAATCGCTTGAAATGACAAAGCCCGGAACATCAAAACCCTTGAAAGGAATGGATCGATGCCTACCTGGACGATGGCTATATGGAGTAGGGTGCCGCGCAATCCGATGGCGGCGGAGGCGACGGCCATCACGGCCGGGCCAGTGAGGAACCTCACGGCCATGGCGAACGTGGCGACGGAGTTCCCGCACGCAATTAGCTTAGGCTGAAGAGCCATGAACAGACCTGCAAACCACAAACACACCTTAAGATATCGAGATCAAATCGAAATCAGCATAAAAAGCAGCCCGAACCGAGGGACCATCTCATAAAGATGCATCGAATCTAAATGAAAACTCTGCGTGTATCACATTTTTCTTTTTCTTGCAACTACTTCAAAAGCAATAACATGGACCGAAATGGAATCTGAAATCAACCGATGCCCACCGACCCTAGGACCGCAAGGCGACGAGGGGGGTCGGACCCACGTGTCGGGTTGGCCCGAGCCACTCGTGGGTCCACGGGGTTTGGTTTGGTTTGGTTTGGGTGGTGGTCGCAGAATATATGGCTGTGAACTGTGAGCTGCTGTTTGCAGGACCATTCACACTGTATGCTCCAAAAAAATGAACATGGAAAGGAAGAGGAAGAAGAAGGGAGAAACAATCATTGTTTCTTGATTGTGAGTATTTTTCTTCTTCTTTTTTTGGGGTTCTAATCGAATTTGGAGTAGAGTTTGGCTCAGTCAATGTCTGGTTGAGGATTGGCCAAGGCATGACTCAAGTTGCTGAAGTTATCTACATAAGCACGACCGAAAGTGTGAACCAGACAAAGAACAGAACAGAAAACGTTGACGAAGATAACCGAGAGAGAAGGACATGGAGATGAATGATAGGAGAGAAATGATGTTAATCAATCAAAGAAGAACAGGAGAAAGGAGAGAGAGAGAGAGAAAGACTAACCTAAGCTGAACATGGCCATTCCCAGCCCAGCATCGGACAGTATGGAGATTGACTTGTCTACGATCTTGGGCATTCCCACATCCCACCTGCAACACCACGTCCAGACAAACACCACCACCCCCAATCATCGTCACCTTTCGCGCTAACGACTAAAGCATTATTATCTAAAAACCAAAGAAATCAAGACCAAGAACCGGAACTTGAAAGTCCCATCTCTCTTCAATCATACAAGAGTATATTCCACGTGATTTCTTTATTGAAGTGTGTTGTGAATTCTCCATGTGGGTCTAGTGATTTGGTACCCATGAGGGTAATGAATTAGCAATCCTTTTTAGTATGGACGATAGGAAAGCCCATCGTGAAAATATAACGCGAGAGTAGTCTCATTGGATATAGTTCAGTGTGTGCTAACCGGAAGGCGATCAAAGACCATGCGAGGCCTATGAGGCTCGAGTAGGTGTTGGGGTTCCGGATCAGCTTCCTCCACACCATGATCAAGATGAGGCGGGTCATCACGCTCGCCGGCGGCATCTGCTTGTTGTTCCCGGCGTCGCTGTACCCTGGCTCTCCGGCGCCGGTGGCGGGGAAGCTCGGTCCGAGCTTGTTGAGCCGCGCGGGCCCCGCCGCCGCCCCCTCTCCGATTCCGTCGTCCCTTTCGTCTGCTTTGCCCGCAAAGTTGAACTGACCTTGCCCGGTAAATCCCGCTGTTTCCGGAGCACCTTCCACACAAAACACGAAGCTCAGGAAATCGGATAAGATTGAGATGTCACATTAAACAAAGTCTTCAGAGGAAAAAAATATAGAAAGACGTTGTCTAACTAAGAATCTAATAATTAGGCTGCTGATTACTTTAATGGTGGAAAAGGGACAACGTAGTTGGATTAATATATATACTTTTGGTTTCGCCGGTGGGCTGGTTATTATCGGCGACTATCATCCGGATCTCCTTGACGCTCTGATCGGACCGCCCGGATTGATTATCCGGAGCCCCAAAATCCCCGCTGCCAAACACGTGGAGCCCGCCTACTTCCGAAACCGGCGAAGCGCTGGAGCTCCACACGAACATGTGGAGCTCCTTCGCGTCGTAATTGTTTGCTTTCACCACGCCGTGAGATTGCTGCGCCTGCGGCGGCGGCTGCTGCTGCTGCTGCTGTTGGTGGTTGGGCTTGCTGCTCTTCGCGAATGTGGACGCAAAATCGGGGATCGGAGCCGGGTACGGCGCGGACGCAACCTGGGCTGGGTAGAACCCGAACCTCGGGGACGGCAGGGAGTTCTCCTCAAAGTTCGACGGCCTCGGGGTCGGGCCGCGGGAGGACTGCACCGAGTACACGTCCGAGGGTCCAAAGTTGGAGAGCCGAGGCACGCCCATGATGGAGTAGAAGTCCGAGTTGTTGAAGTTGGACCCCCTCGGAGTCATGTTCCGTGACGAGCTCACGCTGTAGATCTCCACTCCGCTGAGGTTCGAAGGCCTCGGCGTCATCCCCGAGAACGAGCCGCCGCCGAGCCCCAGGCCGAAGGACCGCCTCGACGCGTTCGACTTCCTCACGGTGACATGCAGCTTCCCGTCGTCGCCGACCTCCGCATCGGTCTCGAGGAGGTTCCGGCTGTCGAGCGAGACGACGTCCGGGTCGACATTGAACGACACGATGGACGCGGCGGTCTCGGGGAACTGCTCCATGATGAGGATCTTCGCGCCCCGGTACTCGAAGAGGAAGAGGAGGAGGGTGTACCAGATTATGCACTGCAGCACGACCACCTGAAGCCGGTAGCGGACGCAGAAACTTAAATCACCTTTTCACATGAGATTTCAAAAGGAAATTATCTAAAATCACCGAGCACCGAGCGGCCAGGGCCGCGCTCTGACCTGGACCATGAGGCTGCCGGCGTCGTCGCCGTACATGGCTCTGAGGAGAGGGATGCCCATGACGAGGGTGTTGGGGAGGGTGGAGAGGGAGAACACGGTGATGGACCAATCCAAGGATCCGCGGGCGGAGAGGTTGGCCCAGAGGGCGAGGAGGAGGAGGAGGATGAGCTTCTGGAGGGTGTCGGCGGCGATGAAGCGGAGGTTCATGGCGTACGGGTTGTTGGTGGAGATGAAGTGGAAGGAGAGGAGTGGGACGGCGAAGATGGCGACGAAGCGGTTGATGCCGGAGCACTGGTCGGGGGAGAAGATCCTCCACCACCGCACGGAGCCGTAGGCCAGGATCATCGCCACGTAGAGCGGCACCACCGCGGCCAGCACCGTGTAGAGGTCGTGCCACGTGATCATGGCGGCGGTGATCAAGCAGGCACACGGAGGGAGAGAGCGAGAGAGAGAGAGAGAGAGAGAGAGAGATTGAACTGTACTGTTACGTACTGTGTGCAGGAGGCAGAGTTCTTGCTTGCAGCAAAGTGGAGCTTCTGTGGGAAGTGTGAATTTTGGCGCAGAAAACGAAGCCAGAAGCGAGAGAGAGAGAGAGAATGATGCAATGTCGTAAGCCTTCGAGGCATAATACTATATACACGCGGAGGGGTGAGCGGGTACGGGTCATGGGCTCGTGGAGCGAACTTGACCCGCTTTCGTTTGGTGTTGCTAGCTCCACGTCACGTTTGTTCATGACCTCATCAGCTTTTGACCCACATGCGGACCCAATCCTAGGACGAGAGTATCTCGACTCGATTGCACAAGTGCTTCGGTAGTTTGGCGATCAACCGAGGAAACTCTACAACTTCCAGTGCGCCGAGTATTCCCGTGTCATGCACGACCACTGATTCGAAAAATTGAATCGGTCCAAATTAGATATGCTTAACGACAGTTGCTTGGATATATTGAGTTTATTAGAAGACAATCGATATTATAAGTGGGGCTCCACGGAGGGGGGATGTTGCTTCCCCTCTTCACCTAATGATTGTAGGACTTATCAAAGATGGGATGACCTTATGAAATGTGTAGTCTCGTAAAGATACAATAGTACACGAGTCATTTTCGCGTACCCCAAAAAAAAATATCTCTCTCCCTCTCTCTCTTCACATCACCTTGTCTCCAATCGAACACGTATAGCACATCAAACGCACACAAAACAAGGATCTAACGCCTACCCGTTTCTGCTAAAACCTTGACCCGCCAAATTAAATTATTCACTTTATAGTCTAAAGCAACGATTTCTTTCGTTTGGGATAACGACCATACAGCTTCTGAATTTTGACTCAATATATAATGTGATCTCTGAACTTTTAATTTGTCCAATATAGTCCTTAAACTATAGCCTAATATTCAATGTAGTCCCTATATTTTTTGTACATATTCAATGTAGTCCTCAAACTATATAAAAATGTTCATTATAGTCCTTCCACTAAATTCAAGTACATTGAACATTTTCATATAATTCACAGATTAAATTGAACATATACTAAAAATTCAGGGACAACATTAAACAAATTAAAAGTTCAAGAACCACATTGCATATTGAGTTAAAATTCAAAGACCACATTGAATAAATTAAAAGTTGATGGACCATATTGCATGTTGGACCAAAATTCAGGGACTGTTTGTGTCATTTTTCATTTTCCTTTTGATAGTAAGCGACAGTGTCCAACTTTTTAACAATTTATTCTAGCTAGGATTAGATGAACAATGTTAAAAAAGAAATCTCTACAAAAGTTTATATTCGTTCATCGCACAAAGACCGTAACATAATAGCTATTAGGATATAATATAATATAATATAATATAATATAATGGAGACGCAATTAATTATTGTGCGCTGTTTGGTTTAAGTAATGCAATGCGTACTACACTGTTTGGTTTCGCGAATGATATGTGTTAGAAGGGGTGGTATAACACAACCGGATGACATGAAATAGTATCTTATCTTGGAAATTTTAAGCAATCAGAAGCTAAGACTATGCTAATTATCATATTATGAATGATTTCTAATATAATAAATAGTCATGTATTGTGGAGACAGCATAACTATCGTTACATCATATGCTTACTATGGATAAAACATGCGATTATCACAAAATAATTGTAATTGGTGTTCTCACTTAAATAAATAATCTAAATTATTATAGTTATAATTAAAATAAATTTAAATGATAGCTAATAATCTCAATAGGTATAGCAAGTGGGAGATTATTAGCTAAATCTTATAAAGCGCATGCTTTTGCTTTTTTTTTTTTACATTCAAAATACCTGAAGTTTTCACAATTAACTACTACACATTGTATTGTGAGGGATGAAGTCAATTTTTATCTCCTGTATTATTGGATAAATACATTTAAGGGATAAAAATTGACCGACGCAATGGAAAATAATATACCGGTATAGCAAGTATATCTATACCGGTAAGACGAACTATACGACATATATAGTATGCGATAGAGAAAGTTAATTTGCATATTAAAAAGCAATTGTTGCAAAATAACATTCCTCTTTTTTTCTGAATTTCCATGGTTGGACAATGTAAGAAAAGATAGGAGGAGTGCATGTGGGGACATAGAATGGAGCAAAATGTGTCGGCCCATTGGGCCATGGCCTCGCGACCACAGGCCCATTTCACTAAGCCCCCCTTAACCCCAAAATAGCATGCACAATTCCTCACGCCTACTTATGTAAAATTATATTTGCACCTAGTTTTATGTCTAAGAACTGAAAAAAAGCAAAAAAGAAATTTCGCGGTTAGTCTCCTTTCCCCCCAAGAGTCTCCCATCCCGATAGCGCTACCGGAAGATGATCACGGGCGCTTGAAAGTAAACCCGATCATCTGAGAGGCCCGGATACCCAACGCCATAAAAAGAGAAGTTTTCATAAATTAGAGGTCCCGCTCGGATCGATATCGAGATAGTTCACATGAAAGAAATCGCGACATGCGAAGGTGGGGTTCATGAACGTTCTTGTTAGCGGGTCGTTGTTGTGGTAGTTCTATGCTGACCAAGCAAAAATCGGGTCACGTTTACCAAAACCCACAGAAAATACAACGCCTCTCCGGCTAATGCCAAAAATTAGGACTAGTCAAACATGCGTCATCCAAAGTTTTAATATGATTAATCACTAATCGCTACGTCTTGGCCGGCGATTCGGCCAACAACAGTTTTGATTTGAAGCGACCATTTTAATTATATCACCCGACGTTGCAGACATTAGTCAATCCTGATCAACTATGATTATAGCAATACAGTATGCAACACAACTGCAGATTGAAGTCACGACATGCTTGGGTTGACCTTGTTGATTGAATTCGCATGTAATCAAAGACTAATCTATATATATAGGTAGTCGAACTGAACTGCCATGTCCGTCAAAGGAGTGTCGCGTGTGATTACAGAGTTGACTAAACTAATCGGGCCTTGGACAAAGATTAAGTGCCAAAAAGAAAATCGTTTCGATCCTGTCATTTTCTGTAGTCATTCAATACAAAAATTACAGGTGCTTGATGAATGACGGGACTGTTCCGTCACTTACTGAACAATTTAACATATCGGTTTTGATCATCTCTAACATTATTCATCGACGATGGTTGCTTGCATTCTCTCTTCTTTTGCTCACACATAGGACATATGTGGTCGTGCTATGCAAAGCGACGAAACATAGAACAGAAAGCGGAGAAAGGGTACGGGAAATTTACGTGGCTCGGGTGATGGCCTGCTGCACGGGCCGAGGAGGAGGAGGAGAAGGAGAAATTTGTATGCGAGCATTCGGAGCACAATAAAAAAGGAAGAGCTCTCGAAACCCTAGCTTCCAAATAAACCCGTCATCTCTCACACTCTTTAAAGATAGTACAAAACGAATAAGAAAATGTGCCAAACAACCTCACCAAGAATTCTCAATAGGGTCACTTCAAAAATTTATCGGATCAGGTCAAAAAATCAAACCTGGCATGTAAATTATTCATAGTCAAAGGTTAGCAGATTATCATGTTCCTCCTCCAAAATTTCGCTAAACATATATGTCATATATGATTTGATGAGTTCCAACTTCCATCAGCATCTCTCCCTCTCTCCAAGCTTAATCAACGATGTCTTAAAACATTTGTTAAGCCCATCCCCAACCCAAGCAAGAGCGAATCGGTTAAATTATGTCCCCCGAAAACCTAACTATCCACAGCTCTATGCAATAATGTAAAAATTGCTATATATGGCTTTCCACCCTCTGTGCTAGCAAGCCGCCGATGGCTGCCTCGACTGAAGCGCGGGCGCCGACGGTTGCGACGCTTTGGACGGCACCGCAGTGGCGGCGGAAGGGGAGGAGGTGCCGGCGTTGGGGGCGGAGGTGGAGGTGACGCGCTCGCAGCGAGGGCACATGGTGAGGGTGGAGGCCGGGAGGGGCTGGCAGGTGTGGGGGGAGATGACGGTGGGCGGGCCCACTTTGAGGGCGCGGAGCTCCTCGACCTCCCTTTGCAGCCGCCGGTTCTGCTCCGTCAGCGATCCGAACCACCTCTTTAGGTACTCGCACTCCATCTCCGTTTGCTTCAACTTGCTCCTGCACACGGTTATAAGCGGGTTTTTCTTTATGTAAAAATTTGATAAGACCACCGTCAATTACACTTAATCATAACCGTTTGTTAGAAACGAAAGTTTGGGCTATCAAGAACCAAATCGATTAACATATACATTTGACCAAACAAACACTCCATGAACGAACATTTATGATTGTCATGTAGGGCAGTGAATGACATTACAATGAGAAAAGCCTAGCATAGAATCCGGATTTATCATGTAGGGCTTATGCGACCATGATAGAATTTGATCAATGTGGACCCGAGTTCAAGCAAGCCTTTGCCCATTATCAAGCAAAAAAATACATATGAAGAGGAAATTAAACATGCTATTAAAATGAAGACGAGTAAAAGCTGGCACGACCAATTTGACGACAAGAAGGGAAAAAAATGATTTTTCTGTTCTTGCTGTCATAGCAGAAGAACTTTCCATAAATCACACAATACACATGTGAGCATGCACTACGACTCTATATTTTAACTTCCATATTGCAGATAGATTTCAAGTATATACACACTGTACCGCGTCATATACACACTATATATGAAAATTCCAAAATCTACCAATAATACCAGTCCATACTAAATTAAATCACGTCTTTTACCATATAGCAAATCCATACATAGATTCAAAATATAAGCAGAACCGGTGATTTCTGTCATTGTCTTTCAAGCGATACATACATACACATGAACAATCACACATATCTGTCATGAACAACGATCCGAGTGATATCTGCACTTGTACACGTCTCATCATTGTTTTCCCTAGACATACTTACTAGAAATGTCCAATATATATTTCATTGTAAACAGGGTCCTATTACCCTATTCAGAACGTCAATGCACAATAATGAACATTCCAAACGAGGCAGACAGATGGGTAGATGAAAACCCAGAATGCATATATGTATATATCAGTGTTTTTTTTTGTTGCTAAAAGTATGTATATATCAGTTGCGTGTGTGAGTATGTGCAGCAACAATAATGACATTGTACCAAGAAAGATGACCTAATTATTGCACCATATTAGGGTTAAAAAAGACAGAGAGAGAGAGAGAGAGAGAGAGAGAGAGAGAAGAAGAAGAAGAAGAAGAAGAAGACGAGGAGAGTGCGTGCATGGCCAGTCAAACTGGCATTCGATGATGAGGGGAAGAGCACACGAGGACGACGACAACACATGGATATCTGCAAAAAAAGACATCCCCCCCATTATTAATGTCGCCCTCTCTCTCTCTCTTTTTCTATAAACAAATGGGTGTTGCACTGCAATGTGCAGACAGCCATCATAGACGATGTCTCACAAAAGCCGATCTCTGTCTCACGAGATGATCACATCATTAACTTGTTCATTAAATATCCTCAACTACTTATTAACATTTCCTTTTCTTTTTTTCTTGCGGGGGGTGTGTCGTCTTTTGAGAACCATGCAACCGTCACTTTTGTTGACCCGACACCCGCGATTTAAAAAATTGCAGTAGAACCGTATATGTATAAACTACGTTTGCGTAATGCTGTTTTGTTCGTGTGCATGTTTTTCTTTTTCCTATTTTTCTCCTCGTATCAACAGATGTTGAACAACCTTTCCCTTCTTGTTTTCTTGCCCAGGACTCAGAAGAACCGAACAAGGATCGAATTTTTTCGAGGGTTTCTGAGGGTAATGAGGCCTGAGGGGTTCGAGAATAAGAATGAAAGGTTAATCAAGATGAAACCCACGTCTTAATCGAGCAGAATATGTATTTAATACATGCATATATATAATATAAATTTTAAGTTGTTTGTAAACTTTGAATTTTGGCGCTTGATGGACAAAATAATTTTTGCTGTTAATAACCACATGTGAAAAGAAAAAAGATCACTTATGCAGTCCTAAAATGAAAATATAAATCTGATCATGGAAGGAATTTACTTGCTTAAAAAAAATACTGCATATGTAGCTAAACCGTGCTAGTAGAATCTGTTTTTCTACCAGTTCGTACAAAATGGATATTCAAAGGTACTAAATTCAATTGTTGCTGAAACTGAAATTACACAAATTATCTCTGTATTGATTTTCAATTGCTTAAAATAGAAACTTTCAGTATAATGCTAGAGCTTACCAAGACCTTAATTATAATTACAAAAGAAAAAGAAGGATTTATAGCAGAATTTGGGATCTATAGTTTTCCAGGCAAAAGAGATAAGAGAATATCAGGCAAATCTCGAAGAAAACTGAAAAACAATTTGCCAAAATAAGCCTTCATCAATTTTCCCAAAAAAGGAAAAGCTATCTTAAAAAAAAAATGCAACAACATATACCATACAATACCGGTTTACCAAATTAATATACTAAGGTTTAATTAATATTATAGACTCTTATAGGGTGCCAAACATTGCGTACTCTCGTTTAAAACCTTATTCGCGACACGGCACATCACTTCATAAAAACGCTTTGTAAATCAACATTGATATATCTATATTTCCAAGATTAAAAAAAATCACAACTCTATTTCTGTAAAACTGACAGCTAATTTCGATCGATAAAAATGCGGAGATTATGAAAGCGTGTCGGTCGAAAAAAGAAACCCAGAGAGAAATGCCACCCAAGACGTCGAAGCACATTACATCCTGCAGGTACGACTTTTTTGCCCTCGTCTCGTGACTTCACCGCTCAAATTTAGCAAAAAATTTACATGGACAGAACACACGAAACTCAGTCAACGAATCGTCAGTTTCACGTCCCTTTCTTCCTCCTCGAACAGAGAGAGTTAAAGGCATATAGAGAGAGAGAGAGGAGTAACATACAACTTGATTCGTTGCAGATTCTTTAAGGATTATTTTCCAGAGGAAAATAGACGGGGAGTAAATGCAGAAGCAGGTTAATGCAGTGCGCGCAGAGGTTGGAAAACAGAAATGGGAGAACAAAAAATGAAACGAAATTTATTGATGAGTGTTGACCAAGGGGGAAGCTGTTTACGTAGGAGAGCATACACAGGCGCTTTTGCTCATTCCGGTTGATCAATCCAATGGTCCCTCTCCCTCCATCGCCCCCTCGTCTTTCGCTCCCTATTTACTCTCGACATTGACCGAAACAGCCCCTCCCACTTCACCATCATCAAATCATAGTTTCAGGGCTTTGTACGTGTCTACAACTGTGTCGTCCTCATAAAGACAAACCCTTTTCTTTTCTTTTCTTTTCTTTTTCTCCCTCCCTCCTCCCCCTCCCTCCCTTTTTTTCTTTCTTGGCATTTCATTTGGGAGGGATCGCTTTCTGTCGTTAAAGCTTGTACGTTTTTTCTACGGGTTAGAATCTGATTCAGATTACACAGACAGAAGAAGCACCCACTTTGTGACGATAATATTCTGTCAACGATCTTAATATCCTGACCGCTTTTTAGTCCCAACCACTAGCACCACCAATTCTCAAAGCCCCCAAACCCCACCAAAAAAAAAAAGAAAAGAAATTTAAGAAAACAAAGGCGTTTTGCAAACACCCATTTGTTGAAAATCAGTTATTAGATTCCAAAATTTAAGAAAACAACGACGCTTATATTGTTTCACTCACGAAATACGTACATAACATGTAGAAAAGATCGAAGTAGAGAAATACGAACCTGGCCCTACGGTTTTGGAACCACACTTCGACCTGGCGTGGCCGGAGCTTCAGTTGCATTGCCAGAGCCTCCTTTTGCTTCTGTGAAACCAGAACACCACCACATAAAATCACGCATGCGTCTATGACGTTCTTGATCATAGCAGTAACAACGATGATGATGCTTATAATTAAAAGAAAGTTGGTGATGTGTTTTTACGGGGTTAAGAGTGTGGTTTTGCCGGAAGCTCTCTTCGAGGAGGCGAGACTGCTCCTTGGTGAGGCGGAGCTTCTTGCGAGGAGGGCCACCGTGGCTGCTCTCTTCCTCGTCCTCCATCCCTCCGCTCATTGTCATCCACTCCTCCTCGCCCCCTGACGGCACCTGGTTTATGTCCAAGTCCCTCACTGCATCATCACCCAACATCTATCAATATCAGATGGTGAATTTTTTTTTTGTTGAATTGATTTTATGTGACAGTTGCAGACCGATGATCTAAACAGTTTAAGCTGCGGTTCAATATCTAAATACACTGACGTAGATGAAACTCTAGTAATACGGATAGAGCACGCACAAAGTGCACCGAATCGATCATAATCCGGCGAATCTCGACATGTTTATAGCCTGAAATGCGACATAAAAGGAGAAAAAGAAAACTAGGGCTAGGTAATGATCAAAATAACAGTTTAAGATATATCAAAACCTAAATAAGGAAAAATATTTCAAGGATGTGAATAAGCACCCATAAAGGAATTTCCTCTTTATTTTACATGGAAATTCCGCGATCATGCTTTATTTGCGTGGAAACTACTTTTCGGTGAATATATCTCTCTCTTAGAGCCTGAAAAGGCAATAAAATCTATGATCAAATCGAGACTAAACTCGAAGAACAAGAAGAAGAACAAGAAGAAGAAGGAGAAGAAGAAGAAGAAGAAGAAGAAGTAGTGAAAAAAGAAGAAGAAGAAGAGAAGAAAAAGAAAAAGGGACAGTGTTGCTGCTGCTGCTTTTTTTTTTTTTTTATGAGAACAGATTTCTTTTCAGATGAAAAAGAAGAGCTGATAAGATAAATCTCTGAAATCGAGAGATGCGTACCAGATGAAGGAAGAGGAGGAGAGGAAGAGAAGCCCGGAACAGATATGGTCAACTCCAGGCTCGAACAGCTTCTGGGCATATCTCCCAAATCTCCCATGGATGTGAATGTTTCAGAGGACGGAGAAGGAGAAGAACAAGGACGAGAGAGAGAGAGAGGATGACGAAAAAAGGTTAATCTTTTGGAAGGCAAAAGGTAAAGTGAAGCCCGAAAGAGAGAGAGAGAGAGATAGCAGACGACAATGGAAGAAAACTGGGGGTCAAAAGGTCAAATAAATAGAGTGAAAAGGGCAAAAAAAAAAGGAAGATATATATATATTTGACAAGAAAAGCGGAAGACGAAGAAGGACAAGAAGAAGGGGAAGAGGGTTTCGTCTTCCCCTTTTCGTGTTTTTTCTTTACTTCTTTCTTTTTGGGTTTTTGTTGTGTTGTGGGCTTGGGAGTAAGGGTAGGGTTTCTCCAAACATTGACCGCGGCCCTGAGGTCAAAGGGGGGTCCGACCCGTCCGATGAGCGCCACGTGTCCGACCGAAGGGTGGACAAATCACAGAGAGAGAGAGAGAGAGAGAGAGAGAGGGTAGGGAGGGGTGGGAAGCTGTTCGTGAAAGTCTCTTCTGGGGGGTTGTCGGTTCAAAAGGTCAGCTCGTGAAATGATTGGTAACACAGACTACTACTGTAGGGTTTTTTCCTGAGGGCCAAACGAAATATAGTGTGTATATTTGTCTCCTCCTGATCTTATTGCCTGCTGCAGAGCCTGAGAGATCTCATCCCCTAAACCCGACCCCACCCACCCGTCCTCCTCGGTAACAAGGGCTTCGGGATACTTATGAAGCATGCTTAACGAGAACATACTTAATTTTCAAACTATTAAGTTGTTCGTATCTCGGGTATGGTCGACGAATTACAAATACAAGATTTCCTTGTTTAGTTGTTCATCACACGGCGCCCCTAGAGCACATTGAAACCAATCTGTTCTCTTTTTCCCCCTTTTTTCAGTTTTTTTTCCGACCCCCCTCCCCCCCCGGGAAAAATAAGGGTTTCCGACAACCAATGGTTACCGGGTAACTTCAAATCAATCCGTTGAATTATCAAATTAAATGACGTGACGTATCATGAGTGAAGACGTATTATGAGCAAGTCAACTACGGTATTCATTAGGAGTCCAGGGCATCATTAATGTTGATTTTATATGTTCATCATTTTTTTCTTACACAGAAGTGTAACTCCAAAGAGTCAAAAGGAAAAAAATTACTTGTGAATATTTTTTGCAGCGTTTAGTGTTCGAATTTGAACTCAAAATTATCAATGTCACCTCCTAACTAACTTGACACTCTTCGAGCTATTGTTCCATAAAATTATTTTCTAAGACTATAGTCCTGGATAGATTTTATTACGATATGGTGAAATCATGTAAAATATAATGTAGTAAAAACTGACAGAGTTCAATTTGAAATTGTGTATGTATCTTCGCCTATCAATATTGTCTAAAGATTGAAAACAAGACGTTTCTCTATCATTAAAAAAAACCGATATGCAAATTTGCCATTGATGATGTGATCATTACAATCACTGAAAGTCCACAGACAATAATGCTTGTGATAGGATTATGTGAGTAGACAATTTTATTGGATCGACCGTTTGAGTAAAAGCAAAGTTTAGAGAATTGCATGCTGGCCTCTATTCACTTTTCTTAATACCCGTACAACTAAACCTTGAAATATATCACTTCCTCGAAAACGCTTATGCTTACGTACGTGCCGAAAAAGATAGCGCTCATATTCTCATGAGATTGGCTCAGTGATTAAAGAATGGACTCGTATATGTATGTAAAAGTAAACGACGTTGTCACGTCATTAAATGAACGGATTTTATGTTTGGACTACCCCCTCAAGATTTCTAACTCATGCTTCACTCGATTCAATCTCGGGGCAACGAGATATTCCATTACTTTAGCACTTACCTATATAAGATCACTTTCTCATTATTAACAACAAAAGGGTCGATTTTGTTCAATGTTTCCTTTACACCGGAGATAGGGGTTGATGATACCAAGATCGGATACGCTTGGTTTGTCTTTCGGTTCTCATTCAACTTTGATCCCCCCAAATTCACTCGCTTTTGACCAGGGAAAGGGAGATAAAAAGGTGGGTTGGGGGGAGGAAAAAGAGGGGAAAAGGTGAGGGCTTAAAGGTGATCAGTGGAGCGAAGGGTCTTTGGCGTGGGAAGATAATGAGGCAATAAATGCAATTACCTGCTCACGGGTACAAAGAGGGGAGCTGCAACGCCTCTCTTTAAACATCGATGCTGAAGAAGAAGAAGAAGAAGACGACATAAATTTTTCTAGGGTTTCATGTTTTTTGGACGAACGCCATTTATATGCCCTGTGGATTCTCTTCATTATCTGCACTGCTTTCCACGGATTTCTTTCTCTTCCGTTTCCCTTTGCTATGCTAAGTTGAACTTGAGACTGAGTTGATTACATGAAGAAAAAAACGCAAGGAATCAATACACTTAAAGTTTTTTTTTTTTTTTTGTAACCGAGGATCAACCTCCATTCCCCGGGAACAAACCCGTACAGGTAATCGGGGCGCCTATACCTCGGGGGAGACTAGCCCAGCAACCCACCGCCAGGGCCTCCCACTTAAATTACGGAACCGAACGGGGATTCGAACCCAGAACCTCTCTAAGGGAAGGAAAGCGCCCATCAACTCGGCCATGCGCAGGTGGGTATCAATACACTTAAAGTTGCTAATGATAAAAACATAAAAGAAAGAAAGAAAAACGATTGCGGTTCAGATCCGTATCAGTCATTAATTATGTGACGTGACCGACGTGGGATCCATATGATCTCAGGATATAATGGAGCCGGTCCACATGAACCGGTTCATGCAAATCTTCAACCCAATCTGATATTGTTATAGAATGAGATTACGACGTATACCAGCGCTCATAGTTCCAAGGACATATCTTGAAATGTCGATAATGAATATAATTTTTATTAACTAATTACCTCAAGCGATAATTTTTATGATAATGTTTTCCAAATCATTTATTTTTTGCGAAGCAAACGGAAACTTAACGGGGACAATTTTGGTTTTGTTTGACTATAGTATTCAGGTTTTCATGATTCCAAAATTATTTATTAAGCTTTATCAATATGGGGGTGGGGGGTGGCATTGAATGAAGATACTTACTAATGACACACTTCTATACTTCATGAGAAATTTAAGCAGGGCAAATTATATTTACTTAGTAATAAATTATTGAGCATAACTAAAAATTCATGACCTAATTCAAAGTTCTAGAAAAATTATTGGGAAGCAACATCTAACATGAGTCTTTTACGTTACACATTGCTCAGAACCGTGAGACAAAAGGAAATAATCGAGAGGCAATTAAATCATATATATAACTGATACTGCAGTCGCATCATAAAGAGCAGGGCAATTATTGCTCAACAAATTAAGATTTAATGAGATTTCCAATTGATACAAGAACATCGAGTTGACTCTTCAACGGAAGACATTTACAAACCATTATTAACTTGGGACTCATCCTCGTACTAATTGCAACTCAGTTGTTATCTAATGCTTGTTTCATCGCTGGCTTAACTTAAGTACCTGGTTTTAAGTTAAATAAGTGTGTTAGGGTTACTAAAACCAATTTCCAAAATGACACGGTAATTAACACAACTCTGAACTTCCTTTGCGATTCCGAACGTTAGTTTCATCACGTCGCGTGTTACTTTATTGCAATCATCGCATAATACGTGACGCCGTACATAAATCTTATTATCATACGAATAGAACATCGCCGGGGAAGAAAAGAAAACAAAGCCCCCGACGGAGTTGTTTCTACTGCCGCGGCACGTCATCGTGACGGAAGATATCATCATTCAAAAACACACTGCTTTTGCAAAAGCCCCCCACTAACTTTCCCTTGAGAGAGGGGGTTTGGCAGGTTCGAGGGTTTACTAGGCTACAACCAAACATGGTACTGTTGAATCTGAATGTGGAAAGCTTTTGAGTTCATCATGCACAGGCTCGACAATAATGTCCGAGTGCCGAGACTTTCCTGAGCAACCAAATCGTGCTGTGTGCACCTTTGCCCCCTTCCTTATAAAAGTCAATGAATCCAATCACTAGTGAACATGGACTTGTGTCGCCTATAATGTCCCTCTTTGCCACATATGTTTCAGTGGAGTATATCATAAGGGTCAAAAAATAGGAAAGAGATTATGTGGAAGGTACTGTTTTAGGTTGCGTTAGATAGCTTCGCTTCTTCTTCTGCTTTGCGTTTGTCTTTCATCTTTTGGACACTCGACGGACACTTTCTTTTCTTTTCTTGTTCTTTTCTTTTCGTTTATGAGAGAAAGAGAGATCACACTAAGGCTACGTTTGGTAACCTGGATAAAATTCGAGATAGGATAAATTTTATCCTATCTCATGTTTGGTGCGTGCTCAAGATAGGATAAAGTTGGATACAGGAGGGATATAGCCTAGATAAAATTATCCCATGGGAGAGGTGAAATAAAGGTGGATAGGATTTCTACTATCCATAATATAAAATTATTTTTCTCGAATAACAAACTTGTTAAATTAATAAAATTAAAATAATATTTGAATTTTAATATAAAAAATTCAAAATAACAAAAAAAACAATACATTCGCTTTTATTTATTATTATTTTTATTTATATATTCAAATTTCTTTCTATCTTATGATATAAATTTTATATATATATATATACATATTTAGTATATATATTTATTACATATTTTAGGCATATTTGTGTAGTTTACTATTTAATAAAATTTTATTAGAGAATGATGGAAGGGGAATAAATAAAAAATAAAATAATTAAAAAAGAGAGGGAAAAATAATAAACTAAATAAATAAAAATGAAATAGGTAAGAGTGTCGTGAGAAATTTTTATCATCTCCGTTTATGTAATTTTTAGGTTCATTTACACTGATATAACGTTCATAGCAAATAATGGATATAGTAATATGTGAAAATATCCGGCTTTATTCTTGCGATTCACCAAACAGTAAATATTTCATATACTATCATATTCTGACTAGAAATTAATTCGAACGATCAGACACAATCTAAGGGATTTAACATGGATCAGGTGTACGATTTTCTCGGGAAAATTGGCAGGTACTTGGTTGGACCATTTGGAACATCTCATCGTACTTCACGAGAGAGAGAGAGAGAGAGAGAGAGAGAGAGGAGCACTAGACGAAGCTGCACGATTGTCATTTTCTGGGTCTCCCAACGAATAAATAATGGAGAATTGGGTGCAGAACAAGAAGAGGTCAAGCTCAGCAAAGGGGAAGGGGGGGTCATTTCCTGTTTCGTCAAGTGCCCACACAAGGCACGGCACAAGTCCTCCTTCTACACGGCACTGTCGATACACCAAGCAATTCATTGATTCAATTGTCAAATATAGCATCCATACATGATGGTATCGCGGGCGCGCAGACACACCATACCCCTATAAACGCCATACAAAGTACTTGTCACGCCACGTCCGAGCATCGTGTCCCGTGACATATCGATCATCTCAACCGGCCGATCTTTCTGTGTCGGGTTATTTTCGCTCCCGCGTTCAGAATAGAAACCCATGATTCGGACCGCGAGTATACCCCGTTAAGACGTTACGAGTCGGATCCACGAGATCTATTCGGTCGGTATCGAAACGACGGGACAGGGCCACCGGCACGGTTATTTCTATTGAATAAAGATGACACGAACGGTCCCTGAACGATGATTCAATGTGCAATGTCATGCCCGAAATTTTAATTTGTACAACGCGGTTCCTGAACTTTTATTCAAATATCTAATGCCGTCTCCAAACTTGTAAACATTTTCATATTAGTCCAGAGATTACATTGAACGTTCGTCAATAGTTAGGGAATCACGTCACACAAATCAAAAGGTTTGAAGACGGCATTACACGTCGGACCAAAATTTAAGAATCGTATAGAACAATTTGTGCTGATATCCCCTTTCCTGTCGCGGGAGAGGAGGATCCCCTCGAGATGCTCGAAGGCTAATTTACATGGAAAACCTAGCTCTATCTTATTATTTTCCCAAATTTTTTTTTTTTAAATAGAATATTATTGCGGGGGTGGGGGGGGCCAGGGAGATGATTAGGTGAGCGGACAAAAGGGAAGGAACCAAAGTCTTTCTCGGGGTGGGGACCGCAGTTGATGATTGGGTAGGGGACCGAGGTGGGCCCCGCCCTGTCCCCTTGTCTTCCCGTGAATTGCTGATGATGCCCACCCCCGATCGCCATGTCGGCCCCAACAACACATCAACCCCTCCCTCCCCCCTCTTTGCAACGACACCAACATTCGCTTCGTGGGAAAAAAAAAGAGAGAGGAAGAAAATCGATATATTAGTTTTTTTTCTTTCCTCAAAATTTTTTTAGTAATTGATATCGCAAGTGGCGCCTTTCAACGACGAGACAGCCCTGCTTTTAGAAAAGGGTTTAGTTCCGAGCACACTTGGATCACATTGTCGGAATTGGATCGGATTAAAACAGAGGGCTCGAATCGAATCGTGCGTCTTTGAGAAAAATCGAGATGAGTCTTGCCGCGGTACTTCTATCGTATCGAGTCTAGCCCCCACCAAAATAAGGGCAGAGTTCGTGGGTAGGGCCCCGAGATATCTGAATGAACGGATCAGTTAGCTCCGATTAAGGGTGAGCATGGTTCCAAGGTAGAATCGATTGATGGTCCGATTTCCACCGGTCCGATTCCGAATTTCATAGTATGCAAGGTAGGTTTCAAGTTCCAAAAATTGGAAAAACGGTTTTAACGAGTAGGTTCTATGATACCAAGAACAAGACTTTGCGTTTTTCTTATTCTATGTCTTTGCGCAATCATGCTTTATTATATGGTGTCCGATGATGAGTGTGTAATCTGGAACTACTAGTCTGAGTTTTCCTTTCCGGCAATATTCATAACTGAGCATTTTATTTTGTTAATGTTTCGTATTATTTTTGCATCTAATACGAGATGTGGTCAATGGCAACAAATAGCGGTTGTTAGAGGTGAGAATACAGGTGAAACTGGATAGACCCTGGAATAGGTGACAAGATAGGTTTCAAATTCCAAAAAATGCAAAATAGGTTCCATGTTCCAGAAATTGAAGAATCGGTCCAATGAATAAGTTCCAGGTTCCAAGTGAAACATAAACCGACCCTAGAGCCCCTCACCCCTAACTCCAATATTCGATGCGATAATTTTCACTTGATATCTATGCGAGTGAGTCGTTTGGGCATCGATCGACCGTCTTTTTTACCCCACGCGCGGGGGGCCTAGCGGTCGGGCAACTAGCCATCGTTTCTCTTGTGGTGGCGCGGAGTGTTATTCTCTCCTAGATCTAATTCGCATCTCACATTTCTCTTGCGGTCGCACAAGTGTTATTCTCTCCTAGATCTCATTCGCATCTCGCCCTCCCCCCATTTTGCACGACGACGGGACAATCCATCCGCCTCGGAGGTTCCTTAAAACGGTCCATCGATCTATGCCGATCGCAAGTTTGCATTCATATATTCAGAAGTGTAAACAAAACCCTCTTGATTAAATTGTGCAAAGCGTGTCGGACATGTCGTGTTATATGTGGTTCAAACGTGGGCGAGCGCGCAGTTTAGAAAAGTTTGTGAGATTATGGAAAAGCGAGGGGAAGACAATCAGCATTCCATAGCTTTGCCAATTTTCTGTCTCCTTTTTTAAGGCTCAAGCATAATTGCGCATCGTTCATCGAGGAAAGTAGAGTGACTATATAATTGCAACCTTTGTCTTGTCTCCCCTCGCAGACAAAGCAAGAGATTGGAGGCACACTTTTGGGTTCCTTTCGTCTTTGACAACTCATCATGGAAGAACTCTCCTGGTTTTTTCCTACTTGCATGATCAGCCTAGCTTGTGTAAATTCCCCCATCTATCATGTGTTATTCAAGTGGCATTGCATGTGAAACATGATGGAAACATTAGTTTATTGGTTCGATTCGATAATTTTAATTGTATGGTGCAAGACAAGCCCTAGCAACGTGGCGGAAGCTGGTTGTTTCGGATTATGCTTGCATTCTCAAATTAAGAATTTTCAATTTTCGCCTTTCGCCGGTAGGATAAATTACCGTGGTCACCAGATTTTTTGCCAATATAGTATTATCAAGTCGAGTCTTGGAAATTGTCTCCGCATGTCCCGTTGGACGACATCGTGCGTAGGGTCGCATGTACTCTCATGTGACATTTATCTTATCTTTTGAGGCAACTTGATTCAATTGGGTATGAAGTAAAATTTCACATCGATGCTCGTCATCATGTCGTGACATTGTGATAGGTGCAGCTTTCAAATGAGGCCACCAAACATGCATCAAAACGCAAGTTGTCTTGCAATTTTGGTGAAAAACACGAAAAGCAGCATTATGGCTTTAATATAGCTTGAAATCTAATATACTGTCAAGAGTGAGCTCCATGGCTGTCTCTCTCCCACTTGCTTATTATCCATTTCTTGACCAAAAAGAGAAAAGAATCAATGTCTAGTCAATGATCTGCTCATACGTCGTGATGCTCAAAATGTATAGTTGCTTGCTAGATTAAGCATTTTTAACTTTAGCCAAATAAGTTAAGTAGCAACAAAGGAGGGCAAGCCAACTCAAGTCCACTTGAATCGAGCCACACTAGGATCCATTGACGGGACCATTTGAGATGCTGAAAAGGGCATGCAAGGTCTGTGCACAATGTATTGAGTCAAGTTTAGGCTTAACCATCTTTTCATAGGCTCCAATTCTATCCCCTTTTTGTCTTTTTGGAACTGTACAGTGTCTTGACCTTTGTCTTCCCTTCCCTCTTTGAAGTCCCAAGTAAGATCGTTCTAGGGGGTGCATATCCTTCAGTCATGATCCAGCTGTTTGACAAACCCTTCTTTTGCACAGGCAATTTCCTCCCTCATCTGACACCGTCCCTCCTCTCACGTCTCCCACAGTTTCCTCGACCTGCCTGTGTTCCCTTCATTGAATGGATTTTCCTGTTTTCCTCCTCAAAACATGGCCTATATTTGGGCCTGAAAAGGAGTTGTTTTCCGGGCAGTGGTCTTCACAACCACCCCCAACAGAAACTTGCCCTACAATCTTCAGAGACATTAGTACTATAGTTTGTTTATCTTCATATTACGAGTAATTAATTTGTTAAGAGGTGATTGGGTTATCTTTGTCCCATAAGCGAGTGTAGCAGCTACACATGATATTCTTACTAGTTTTTTCTTTCACATCGCATGACATGCTCTTGAGCAAAAACAAAACATCATGCGCGAGTTCAGTACCCCGGATTTCATCAGTTCCTTCCTTTTTCCCCCTCGCCTACCTCAGTTAATATCAGTTATCAATTGCTATGTAGTAGAAATTGAACCACTTCCAAGCCCATTTTATGACAGTTAAGAAGATGAGAAACTTTCAATAGATACTGGCATCAAAAGACAGCATAATCGGCTATATATAACACTTTCGGTCGGGACAAAAAATTCAAAAACAAGTCGGGGCTTGAAGACATTATGAGCCATTAGATCTCCGGTGGTGCATCCTAACTCAATTACTATACAAAACATTTCCTTCCTTACTTGTAGTTCGATTGATTGATGAAAAGATCGTCTTGTATGTTTGAAGCTTTCCTCCAGTACTTATCTTTCGAGTCTCATGAGAATGCTTTCTCCATGACAAAATCTTCAGTTTTAAACGACTTCAGATCCTCCCAGTATGTACAAGAGTCAAGTGCAATGATGGCTCCAATGATCATAATAATTACTCCCGTCATTCTAGAACAATGACAACAATCAAGCGAAACAGTATAATCAACAATTATGAGATGGATCAGAGTAGCTATGCACAAAAGAAGTGATGTGAGGCCTATGCACCTATTGTATCAGCTTACATCATGGACTGTACAAGTATTATGAAACTTAAAAATAAAGCTCCTATTCTTGAGAGGTTAAAAAGGAAAAGGGCGAAACACTCACCGAGAAAGCGTGAACCTTTTATCTTGTGGCATTGACAGACGCATGCCTCCCATGACAACCATAAAAAAAGGTTATGTACACTGAGTGAGAGCTTTACAAAACCCAGTTTGAGAAGTGTTGAAGATAAGTCCTGCCAGATCTCTGTAGCTCCATCTTGCAAATGAATTTGGTCATTTTGTGCCTTAGGCATCTTCCTGTTTGAAGCTCAATCTCCAAGGGGGCTTAGTGGTTGACGCATGCTAAGCTCTACCTTTAGCCCTGGGAAACGCTCCAGGTCATGTGAAGAACCCAAAACTTTCTGCGCATCAAGAAAAACCAGGGATCGCAAGAAACTTTCTCGATTGTGTGCTGAAAAGAACTCTGATGGACATTTAAGCAAGCTACATCTCAGGTATTTGCCCTAGAAAATAGATCTAAGACAGGCCTTCGCAAAGTGAAATGAACCCAATAGGCTCCGTGTCTCCCAACAAAATAAGGATGATAACAAGAAGGTGGAAAGGATAAAGATGCCAACAAAGCCAAATATTCCATATGACATGGAAGAGATAAATCTCTGGCTTGATACAAACGAAATCAATTTTTACGCACTGACTAACCTTGCCATGGTAACTCGCCGTCATATATGAGAAAGTAGATATTCAAGTTTCCACTTGGTTTATCGAGCAAGAACTTACCAGTACAGCATGATGTGCATCTTGCAAAATATTCCCGTCTATTTCAAGTCTAGCAATGGGAAATTCTGGAAGGTGTCCTGACTGTCTCTTACCAAGCAAATCGCCCGGTCCACGCAAGAGAAGGTCCATATTTGCCAAGTGAAAGCCATCAGTTGAATTCTCCAGCACCTTCAAACGGATCAAGCTACTGGCAGTAGATGCTAAAAGGATGCATCTGGACTTTCTTGCTCCACGTCCAACTCGTCCTCTAAGTTGGTGTAACTGAGCCATCCCAAATCGCTCAGCATTCATCACAACCATCATTGATGCATCTGGGACATCCACACCAATCTCAATCACCTGTGTGGAAAGCAGTATATTTGTATCACCCGATCTAAATCGCCGCAAAGCTTCCTCTTTCTCGTCGCTTTTCATTTTCCCATGTAACAAACCACAGTTGTAATCCTTGAATCGTTGAGATATGTCTTCTAGATCAGCAGAAGCTGCACGAAGCTGCGGCAGTTGCTCGGATTGCTCAATAACTGGATAAACAAGGTAAATCTTCCCTCCATCTTCTAACTCATCAAACATCATCTGCATCAATCAAAGCACAGTATAACATCACAAGTTATTCATCACAAGTCATCGTGTTTTCTTTATGAGGAAGGACTCTTAATAGCATTTCTAATCTCCTCACAAGTTTAGATAAGTAGCCAATTTGTCCTATGCTTGAGGAACTAGTCCACTCATTATAAGAAAAGAACCTTCTAGCAAAAGATTTTGTAACTTCACAAGAATTCCCGCTTCAACCTACCCCAATTATTATAAAATCTAAAAAGTAATCAATTCAGTCAGTCTGGGTGCCCTCATTAATATGACTCATAATTACACTAGACAAGCAGTACCGATTACTCTCTCTTCTGGTGGGCAAAGTAGCATCAATTACTTCTAATATATAGGAGGCACCAATCCATTCTACCAATGAAAAAGCAAGGTACCAAAAAACAGAATGTCATGGACGAATAGGGCAATGTGAAAGATAGAGAGTACATTCGAACAGCCAAAAAGATACTGCTATCCCTTATGTAATCAATCCACCGGATTTATTTTGCCCTTTGACAGACGCAGAGTCTGACATGAAAGGGGAGGTAAAAGTCTTCACAAATTCACCGTGGTATCTACACATGGATGTGCCAAAAAACAGAAATGACAATTATTTTTTGCAGGGACGGCCTTCTCAACCTAGCAAATGGCTACCTGAACAGTAGGCTTCTTCCTTCTATCAAGCCCATAGGAACAAAACTGGCATGTGTTTTACGATACCCTTAGACATAGACGAAATGATCTCTTCCTGGATCAAGCTGGTTTAAGAATGACCTTACTTTGATTGAAATGAGATAAGAGAAAACTAAGAAGAAAAACTCATACAAATGTCAATCCAGTGTCAGAAAACAGTATGGAAGGATTGTGAACTGACGAGCACATTTGATCCATTTTTTCACATAAATAACACTGGCCTGGCTTCTGAAAGGTGATGTTCGCTCTTCTAAGAGAAGGTCATACTGTAATTCAAAGGTTGAAACAGTTTCATGATGAGCCCATAATGACAGTCCATAAATCTCCCATTCCCCTCTCGCGATGTGAAAAATGTGTTAAGCTGACAAGACAAGGTTGCTTCCCCGCAACTTCACAGATAAAAAAGAAAACCATAGAACAACCTAGTGGAAGTCCTGAAACCAAAACTGGGCTATAGAGCATGACATTTGACGAATAAGAATATGATAGCGATAACTATGAAGCATAAGAACAGTGATTTAACAACCAGAGACTTCAAGTCGATCAATTGAACAAGGAGAAATACTCTCAATAAGTGTATTTTTATGATTGCCTGAAGTTACTGATAACAGGATTCTTAAACAAGGGGACATGTTCACCTTATACATTTCTTGAAAGCCTTGTTCATTTCCTTCAATTACATGTGTTTCAACAGGAATTCTTCCAGGAGGCAAGTCAGTGATCTGTTTTAGCAAGCAAAAGATGGCAGTTAGCGGCCAGAAACAATACGTTGACAGATGCACTGGAAAATCAAGTGTAGAATATCAAATAAATTTTGTCAAGACAAAAAGAGCATCTGTATGTCAAGAATTAGAAATACTTGAAGCAAAAGTGTACAGCGAAATGAGAAGCAAGATGACTTTCTCACTCAGGCCCTCATGAAGAAAAATAAAGCATTCATCTTCCCTAATATGAGATAACGAACATGCTATACAAGCAACAATAAACAGTGTAATGTCCAGTCTACCCCATCTCACAAGAACAACCTAACCAAATATTTAATCCTAGCAACACTTAACAATACTGTCAAAAGCAGAAGGCAGACTGAAACTCACCAGCCCCACCAAAAAAGGGTAAGCATTGTATTTAAGAAAATTTTAGGGGGATTCCTCCCAGCCGAAAATTAACATCTGAAGCTTAATTAAGCGCCCAAACGTATTCTCTGTGTTGCCAAGAATTACAACCCCTTGTGTCTATATACACAAATTAAATAAGGCTAGAAAAAGCTTCCTGCTATGGCTTTTATCTCCCTCACTTAGATATAGTAGTTTTTTCGTAAAAATTCTACTTTTCGTCCGTGAGCTTACAACTATGTCCAATCAAGTCCTTAAACTTTTAATTTGTCTAACCAAGTCCCTGAACTTGCATAAATTTTCTAGTCAAGTTCCTCCGGCAACAATTCCTATCAATTTGAGTAAGATGTGGCCCTTGGAAAATGTCGAACATGATGTGAGAAAAAAAATGGGGAAAATGACCCGAATTTTCCTGTGGAAAACTTTACCTTCACGAACAAGCTACAATGGAAAAAACTCTTTTCCCCCTCATACTCCAACATGATCTGACAACCACATCAGCTCGAATTACCCAGGATTGGTGCCGGAGGAACTTGATTAGAAAATTTATGCAAATACAAGGACATAATTACAGAATCTATGTTAGTTCAATAACTTGATGAAGACAATTTAACGGTCCAAGGCTTTAAGTGGAAAAAGTGCGCAAGTTCAAGGATGAAAAATAGAGTTAACCTAGTTTTTTTTCTCGCTAGCCTGCCATTTAAGGTAACGCAGACCAAACTATTAGGAAACTTCACCAAACTTCTTTTTTCCTAAATTTTGAATTTTAAGCATTCGGTTTTTCTGGCAACGCATATACAAGGAAACAAAAGCCCAATAGAATACATATTTCCAACAAGCTAAATAAAGCCCCACTGCCCCCATACACCTCTCTGCAGACAATGCCTAAGCTCAGGTCAACAGGACCTCCCCTTCCCACTGAATGACCACAATCAGGTGAGAGCCTCAAGTGCTTTCAACGGCACTGATGCTCTTCCTTCATCAAGAATTTGCGGTATCTGTCATCTTTACTACTGGAAATGCCCAAATACCAACCAAACATTCAGTAGCTAATTACCTATATACAGGAAAATATCATTACAGAGTACACACCAGAAAAATCATCAATTAGTTTGCATAACATGTTAAATTATGATACAGAACCATGTATTACATGCCGATACTTTTGTTTAACAAAGGAAATACTGACGCACCTGTGTCATGGACATATCTCCATACAATGCTAAAGCAAGTGTCCTGGGGATAGGAGTGGCTGACATGGCAAGGACATGAGGGGCCATATTAGCATCACCTCTGGAAGGATCATCAAGATGAGCTGCAGCAGTTCTTGAACTTGCAGAGTTATAATACAACTGCAGAAATGAGATCTGATCAACACTCTCCTTTTCCAAAAGGATTAAAAATTTTATAACAAAAGAGAAGGAAAAGGTCTCCTGCTGAAGAGTGATATAGACAACAAAACTTCCTCCTTTACAAGCAATAGATGAAGAAAAAGCTTAAATTTCCATCTTATTCAAAACTTTGACCATCTATTCTAGCTTCAACCAGAACCTTAAGATGTGATTTGTCCGATAATTTACCGTGTTCAGGGTTTAAATCATCAGTCCGAAGCCAGGATTGACGTCTTACATTCATCGTTTAAACAATAACCATGGTAAAACACATGCAGAATGTAAATATCGAACTTCAAATGAGATTTGATATCTTGTCGTGGCCATTATTCACTATCGGCCAAAGCACCTTGGCACTAGGTCCAATGTGAAACGAAGAAGCTTCTTTCACTTACTCAATGGCTTAGAACTGATCTTTTGGACGGGTAGAAACTGTCAATTCAGAGTGCTTAGTCCCATTACAGGTACTTCTTACGCCGCTCTGATGCTTTTTTAGGCCGATCAAGTGATCAAAATGCAATGGATCTTTTATTCAAATTTGTTTAGCATCCTGACTGATTTGGAGCTCCCATTCCTGAGAATGATTGGTTGAGAGAAAGTTCAAAGGTGGTAGTTTCATTTTCTACAATGTAATTTATTATACTATTCAAACCATATCCAAATTTTGTGAGATAGATCATTAGATGTCTTAGATGGATGAAAACTGGGAAAGGAGACATTCCCTCAATATAATTATACTAATTTGGCACATAAGCAAATATCACTAATGCAAAAAAGACCTCAACAAACCCCTGTTATAGTATACAGGAAAAGGTCATTAAAGAGGAAAAGAACTGGATCAGAGAGACTTAAAAGGGCAGAAATTATTGCCAATACTACATATGCAACAACTAAAACTCTCACAGACGACTGAGTATACAATGAGTCCCATTCCCGCCAAAACTGAAATATGCTACCTTTCGCCTAATAATACCACCTTTTTCCCTAGGTGTTTTGGCTTTCGCATTTTGGATGATTGCCCGCACATATAAACTCTCTGGTCATATCCAAACTGACACATTTTTTTTCCTTTGGAAGATTTTATTGGCATGTCGCTTGGTGCAAAAGAATATCTATAATAGTGCTGCGAAATCACATGCTGCAGAATTGACGGTCAGTCACTCAAAGCACAAGAAAGCATATTCTTCAAAGGAGACAATCTAAAAGGTCAATCTCGAAAGGCAAAAATTATCCCCTTTCAAGAAAAAGCAGAGGACAAAACCAAAGGATAAAATATAACTAAGGCCAAATCAGATGCTGAAGAAATGTACAGCTTCACATTCCATCGCTGCTATGAAAAGGAAAATCAACTTTTAGTCGATAAATTCTATCACAAAATTTATCCAAGTCAAGGGAAGGGAATGACAAATGGCATGGCCAGTATGCAAAGCGAAGAGAATTAACTGCCTATCTAGCCACAGCATCTACATAGCTAATTCACAATATAAACATATGTATTTACCTTACTATTAAACCTCCCTCTTTGAACCACACCAAATCGATGTTGTTCATCCACCACAGCAATACGTAAGGCAGAAAACTCAATCCTCTCGGCTATCAAACTGTGAGTTCCAATAACCATTGATATTTCTCCAGCTTGGAGCCCCTGTTAAACAATCAGAATACCGATAACAGAAGCAATGCATGACTGGAAACAATGACAAGAGAAAAGAATGCATACTGATACATACCTCACGAATGACCCGAGATTGTTTTGAAGGTGTTGCACCAGTAAGCAAAGCAATAGAAGGTCTGGATTCGATGTCCAATTTCTCAAGCAAATTAAGCAAGTGTTCATGATGTTGGATCGCAAGCAACTCAGTTGGAACCATGAAAGCTGCCTAGACATGAGATAGAGAAAGTATAATTATAAACAATATTAAAAACTAAATCCATCTTATGGTGGGCTGTGAAGGAAAAATTTCAAACTCTAAGGTAAGTAGAATCTTGACATGAAAAGATATTGTGGAGAACCAACCTGATATCCAGAGCCAATTACTTCCATGCAAGCCAAAAAAGCTACAACGGTTTTGCCACATCCCACGTCACCCTGAAAAGGAAGATTTTAATTGAGCATGAGCAAGCTAAACTGTAGAGGCTGTATGCCAATTACGGGTTTTACTTTGAACGACCTTCAGCAGATGGAAAATATATACAAGCCGCCTTACATACCAACACAGGGCCTCCAACTTTAATGCAGAAGAATTAAATTGCAGAAAATGGTTACAAGAAATCTCAGTGTGCACGATCGTTCAGATGACTCACAAGTCACAATAATTATCAATCGACAATTAGAAAAGATGAAGGTCATAATGATGTTTGTTAATACAAACCCCTAACCTGCAAGAGCCTATTCATGGGAACAGGTCTTTTTAGATCTGATATGATCTCAGAAACAGCACTTAGTTGACTAGTTGTGAGGTCATATGGAAGAGTCTTCAAGAACTTTTTTGTAAGACTGGACCATTCCTCAATATATGTGGAGCTCATTTCAGGTTTTCTGTACTTGTCTAACAACCCAACTTTCTCGATTTCCGTACCAAGGCCTTCAAGCATTTGGAATAAGCGTCCCAACTGTCACAAAATTCAGTTAATGACTAAGAATTTAAGTTTGAACATGGTTAGTGCATAGACAAATAACTTATGGTCGGAATATAAAAGGAGGACCTTTAGCAAGGAATTAAGCCAAAGTAAAAATCCACTGAGACTGTCGGACAGATTAGCAGAGGATCAAGCTAAAAAGATGCCTATTCTAATTACAGCATACATCAGCATCAGTATAACCTCTTATTCCATATTTAGAAAGCTCTCTGACTGAGAAATCACTATTTGGGGCACCTGATCATTTGTATAGAAGGAGGCCAATATAGCATTTCAGTATAACCATAATTTGTGTCGAGTCCCACATCCAGAGTGACTTAGATCATAGAAAATGAAAATCTACAAATTGTGCTGACTATTCTAGCATTAGTCATACAAATTGAGATCCCACAAACTCAATACTTGCCTCCTCTCACCTCTCACTAGCATCTCAAAATTACTTTTTCTAGATGTTCTCTGGTAAATTATGGGTGAAATGGAACTGAAATTGGAGTTTAATGATTGCTCCCAAGAAAAGCCGATGCCCACTTTAATCTCCTCACATGACAAATCAGCCTGAGTACACAGAGTCCTGACAATATTCTCGTATCGATTCTTTCAGAAACGATCTAGAGATGTTAAAATTAAGTAAGAACTAGAGATGTTAAAATTAAGCAAGAACAGGAATAATCATCTTTTGTTCATGAAAGCATATGCAAAAGAGTTCTTTTACCTGCAGGTAAAAAAACTCATCGAATATCAGCCTTTTGCGAGCTGAATCAGCCTCATATATATTCTTTGGCTGGTGAATTCCCATGTATGCCTGTGTATTACAATAAAACCAATAAATGATAGTAGATAAAATGCTCCAGATAAACACCTTCATGGACGCATTGCAAGACTTAAATTTCTAGTCATGCCTTCATATTACCAGATAAAATACTACCACATTAAGAACTGGTTCGTCTTCCCTTCTTTGGGATTGATTTCAGACAAGTTGAGTCTCTGTAGGTAGATAGGCTTCTTTTCAGTCGCTAACTAATGTGAGACCATCTCAGGAAAGGGAAAGCCTCTAAATAACCTGGTCTTGTTCCTTTTTTATTCTTATCCTTTGTTTTACTATTATTTGTGGGTTTGAGGTTCACCTTCGTGCATCTTGAACAATTTATTTTCCCAATAGGTGGATTGGTCTATCATGCATTGAAAGTTTCAACCTTATTCTAAACATGGTTTGATGGGAAGAGTGCTTTTGATGTTTATATGTCTGAATCTATGTTAGATTGAAAAGAGTGCCAAGATGGATTTCTGTTTGTTCATAGATATCTGAATTAATGTTGGGCCAAAATTAACCTGACAACGATATCTGATCTGATGTACTTAAAAAGGGACTGATAAATGGTAATATGGATAGACTCAAGAGGAAGTGCTTATAAAAAATGCTACTAAGAAAATGGGTCTAATAGTGAAAAAACGCAAAAAACGGAAGTTGCTTGCTTGAAGTCTTGGAGGTCGACTTTATATTACTCTTTTTATATGGAGATAGACATCTGAACTCTCCACAAACAGTTAATTTTGTCAGTTTTATTGACCAAATTGAGGTAAAGAAAAGGGAATGGGATTTAAGACGAGAAAGGATGACCTTAGGCTCCGTTCGTTTGGCGGAAAATATTCTTCCGGAAAATATTTTCCGGGTTTTCCGGTGTTCGGGGGGCGGAAAACGTTTTCCGTGGAAAAATATTTTCCTTCCCCCCTTCACAAAATAGCCTAAGTCTATGGAAAATGACTTCCGCTTCTTCAAAAGCGGAAATCATTTTCCGGAGCTTCTTCTTCTTCTTCTTCACTAAGGTCGCCGGCCACCACCGCCTCCGTCGCCGGCCGCCGCCGCGCCGCCGGTCGCCGGCCACCGCCGCCGCCGCCGGTCTCCGGCCGCCGCCGCCGCTGGTCTCCGGTCGTCGGCCGCCGGTCTCCGGTCGTCGGCCGCCGGTCGCCGCCGGTCGCCAGCCGCCGCCGCCACCGCCGGCGAAAAATATTTTCCGAAAATTTTTCATATTAGTCGCCGAACACCGGAAAATTATGTTCCGGGAAAACATTTTCCAGAAAAATGACTTCGGGGAAAATATTTTCCAAAAGGAGAATATTTTCCGCCAAACGAACGGAGCCTTAGAAGAGGGAGTTCCAGCAACTAAATGGCAAGGATGTAGATGGCATACAGGTCAAGGTATGTGGCATCATATCAGCTATCCACTAACATGTAGCTTAAGTAACCTAGCTGTCGCAAAAATTTTCTGTCCCTGATCCTTTATTTATTTAGTTATTTATTAATGGCAAGGGATGGAGTTATATGAAAATTCTTATAAGTAGATCAGCCCCAAACAAAAGTTAGAAAATGTACATTTGAGGTAAGAAAAAAAATTCCAAAAATGAAGTGAATGAAAAGGACAGACCACTTACGTCACGAAGACATAAAATTCCAAGTTCCTGAGTGACATCTTTTGGAATAGGATCCATGCCGAAAGACAAGGTTTGCAAAGCTCTGACACGATAAAAGATACATACACAAGACACATATAAAAATGTGTACAGAGGATAGAGCAAAATTGTATATCACTGTGATAATACATGTCTATTTATAGAGACTGGTTTTGCAGACAGAGTAGTATATAGGGAAGAAAACGAGAAGGTTCTATGCAAGTAGAAGTGCTTGATGAAATCCAGTATTGAGCAATGACATTTTAGGAAGAACTCACCTTTGAATAACATCCCTAATAAAGGTAGGGTTTAAGCCACCTTTAGAAGGGTATATAGGGTATGGCCTCCCAGCAGTGCAGAGAGAGGAGTCCTCTTCATCTTCAAGCACGTCAATATTATACTCTCTAATTTCATAATGATCTTCAGAACTCATAGATTTTACCTAAAGGGAGAAAAGTGCTGCTCAAAATTTCCAGACAAGAAAGAACTCATTATTCCGTTCTTGAGATATGTTACCATTTAATAATATCTTTACACACGAATGCAGATAGTAGTTTTTGTTTGAGAAAAAATAAGGGAGGAAAAGCAGAAGTTCAAGACAAGCAAAATAAGCATTACAGTTGTAAGAATTTGCAGATTATTTTTTCTGGCAATACACTTGTAGGAAAATGCAGATTATTTTTCCATCCCACCTATCTATCAAATCTATCTTTTGAAGGTTCAAAACATTGACAACATATAGTTTGAGTAATGCAAATTCATGAAATTCACCGTCTTTATTGGTGAACAAATATGAAGTGTGCTGCAAAAATTGGAAAAATGAAGAAACCAACTTTTTTTAAAATGAATTTTTTTGATTTTCAGATTGCAAAATCAAAACATATATGCGTATACTAACCTTGCCACTAACACACACTATGTCTCCAACTCTGTGCTTCTCCTGAAGGATTCTTAGAAAAGATTGACTAGTAAAACGAGTACCACGAAAGAATTTCTTCAGATGCAGATAGATTGTCTTTTTCTCCTTCGCATCTAGATCACCATCCATATGCTCCCAAGTTGATTTATCATCAGCGATCTCACAACCCACAACCACCTCTAGAAACGAAAATGAACAGCCTGCTCTGATTCCCCTGTGGAGAATGGGTAAGGCTTACTCATATTAAAACTTCCTTATTCTACTTCAAAAACTCAACAGCCGAGGCAATCTTTCGAACAAAAAAAATAGTTACGGCCGAGGCTGCAAATATTTGGAAAAAAGAGGGGGAGGAGCAAGTACAGAATAGTAGAAAGGGGGTTTTAACATATTTAACTATTGGAGCCGCATGCGTACAAGTTTTACAGAATGATAATGTTAACAAGAACAGCAGAAAATGTGTAATAGATCGTCAAAGACATATTAATATTCTTGCTCCAGACCAAAACTATAATAGAGCAGTTGCAGTAACCAAAATTTAAGTTAGGAAGCTCCAGAAAACTACAAAAGCTAGTAGTGAAGAAAATACAAAGTGGATGATCACAAATCAACAACAGATTTTGTCACCTAATAAATTGATTTCAGTAATATATAAAAGGCCAACATGCTTGCACTATTTGCAAGAATTGCCAACGGTAATCGGACTGAAGTCAGTATTTGCTGTCACCTTAATCACAAAAGTTTCTGATTAAGTTCCCAGTCTTCCATTTTCCTCATTAAGGGTTGAACAAAACAATTATATGCAGCTATCCACATTTGATGGCTAGACTGATTGCAAATGACACAATCATTTTCATCAAACGTGTCGATGCACGACAGTTAAAGTGAAAATTCACTCAGCTCGATGGCAAAATGTGCATCATCACTTCCCTTATCAAAACAACTGAACTAGCAACTAAAATGCCTATGTCTTTTTTGGTAGGTTGAACTCCTATGTCAATAGGCCACAAAACATTGAAAAAATGAAATTACCTGGAAGACAAAATCCTGCCAACCGAGATCAAGTATTGTCCATCCTGAATTCCAATATGTGCATTCTGAAGATCAGCATAAGTCCTTGGAAAATGGTTTAGCATTTTTCGTATCTACAAGAAAACAAAAAGGGCAGTGAAAATACATGCTTTATTTCATGGATAAAAGCTCATATGTAACACAAATTTTACATGATCTTCGGGGGCCCACCGTGTGAAAGTCATTCTTTTCGAGTAGATGGCACTGCCTCTTAGTCAATCCAGGTAAGGAACTGATTGGTCTGTCAAGAATCATCTCAACCGTTGCAGCAACTAAATCTGTTTCAGCTTTTACTTTGTCCGAAGATTCCTCCTCAACAACTGACCTATCCAACCATCCAATTTCCACAGGCATGGGCTCATTAGGTAGCAAACTTGCAACACTTTCTTCCATTGGCAATTGTGATGGAGACTTTTCCTCTTCGAGAGAGACAGACAAGGAAGACCATGTATTGCAGAGTCTACTAGGAACACCCCAATTTGCATCAACGGCATCGTGGGGAAATCCCCAGCAACTTTCGGTTGCTGTAGGAGAGAAAGAAGTTGTCCCATCATACAACTCTATCGTCGGAGAACTGCCAATGATGATGGATGGATATTTCTTGCACACCAACAAGGCATCGAATTCATCCTTTAGATTCGCACCGGAATTCTTCCCATCCCATTCATCCTCAACGAGATCGTGAATTCCACTACAAGGTATGACGACCCGGGAACTTAAACGGCGGCCTGGAATATAGATGCAGCTATGGCGGCACAAATTCAACCGGCGCAAGTAGTGGGACACGATTCCAGCACGCAGCGGCAGCAAAGCGAAACGCTCTGTGACAAGTTGCCCGGGAAGGCCGCCGCGCAAGTTCATGAGCAGCCGCTGGATTTTCATCTAAGAGAAACAACATAACAGTCAAATCCTACGGGCCCGTAAGTTCTTCCTGCCAAATCTCGGTGGACACGACTCATCTGGGGCAATATACAGTCGCGGGTTCTAATCAATCAGCAGAAGCCAAAGAAGCACACGATACGATGACAAAACAATCGCACTCGAAATCAAGCGAACCAAAGCAATTCAGAAACAAATATTAGCTCTCCATCACCCGACATTCACGCGGCCAAAACGGTTCCAAGCGACGGCATCCAAACGACAAGGAACTCCGGGGGGGAAACAAAAGTAAAATGCGAACTTTTCAGTCGAACAGCCACGACATTCATTTCCTTAAGTTCCCCGAGCTCAATCGGACCGAATCGGAATGGAACGCCCAGCTCGTCTCGTCAGAAACCAACAGAAGACCCGCGGCGCAATCGGCGAGAGCAGGGCAACGCGAAGAGAGAGCCAAAAGGGAATGAAGAACGAAGGTTTCCGAAGAAGAAGAAGAAGAAGGAGAAGGAAAGTGGTAGCTTACGAGCTTCTGAATTTCGAATCGCCAGCTCAAGCTTCGGAGCTCGCGAGCGTTTCCATGCCCGAGCGTCCCAGTCCCGTGGGTTGCAGAGAGAGAGAGAGAGAAAGGAGAGAGATGAACAGCTGCTGTGGAGTTTGTAAGCTCCAAAGTGGAGTGCTCGAAAAGATCCGTGCGCGTTTGATATTTTCCGCCCCCTTAATAATCATTTATTAAAAGATAAAAATAGAGAAGATATTGAAGGTCAACTGTAAAAATTCTTAGAAATGGAAAAGAAAATTATTTTTACTTTAGATTTCAAAAAATTGTAAAGAAAAGTATCTGTGATTGTATGCATCTAAATGATACGATCCGCGATACGTGTTTGAAAGAGTATAAGAGAACATTTGTAATTTTGAGTCCGACGGCATCTTGCTGTAATTATAGTACATACGTATTCGAAAAAAATTGACATCATTTTTACTTCAAACTCTCGTCTCTTTTTGTATTTGCGTATTGTGTAAAGAGAAAATAATATTATTGCAGGAAATTAAGCATGTGATCACTTTTCCTAGACTTTTAAAACTATTTTCCTAAATAAATAAACGTGAGGGAAAATGTTTTACCATCTGACTTTGCGGCAGTAGCGGCTAAAGGGCCCACTTCCCCCCTCAAGCAATGTGCATCCCTTGTGTTGCAAAATTCATTATTATGCAAATGTGTGTTAGTGGAAACGTGTACTTCGAGCGGATTGATATGACCAGTTAGGATTGCTCGCATCTAATTGCTTATAATTATCTTCATTTTGATTTCACGAGAATTTACAAAGTTTGGAGATGAAACCGAGAGTTGAAGTTCATTATCAAAATAAAGAACTTTCCACTCTAAGAGGATTGAAGCTACGAATGACTCGAATTAGAATTTTATGATTGCATTCTTAGACAACTTTTGACTAAAAAATTGAGTCAAGTCCAAAAGACAGTAATTATGCGATGCTGGATTACATAGCCAAGATTAGCCAAGAGTTGCGTCCTCTTTTTTAAGTTTTCCCTTCACACAAGTGACAAAGGGAACTAAAATGCCTTGTTTCCGCGACAAAGAATTTTAGGATAAAGTTATCAAAAAGAGTATTTGGAGACAATGTGTTAGGCGTAATTAATCGTGCTTTCGAAATAAACATATTTTGATTTGAAGGAAGCAACTTTTCAAAAACGCATTCGGATTTCAAATTTCAAATGACATTCATATGCGTTCTTACCGAATAAGCACTTAGTATCTTGAAAGTATCTACTAACAAGACCGATCTACGAGAAAATGGGGAACAACTTGCCAACATGCTATGCATGTACGTGAACTCGGCATAAGTTAACCGGTGGCATTTATTTTGACAATAGCAATCCAATCTTCTTGGACTCTAACATCCTGTCCTTCTTGTAAAAAACGATTTACACAAGTGGCACAACAAGAACAACAACAAAGACGACTGATCAAATCAAATTACCAAGTGATCCCTTCTTGCCAAGCGCTCATCCTTCGAACTGGCAAGCAAGCCCTTCTCCAGAACCCAGTCCTCGATCATGGCTTGCGAGCTCAACGGCTGGTCGGTGGGCACCAGATGGCCAGCACCCAACACCACAACATGGCTCAAGCTCCCCCATTTCTGCACGTACCCAGCGAGCGCCCCGTTCACCCTCCACACCTTCCTGTCTGCAGACAAGAACTCATCGATCCCTTCCCACTTCATCGTCTTCACCCAGGCCTCGGTGGAGACCACGCCGTCTCTCAGGTCGGAGTGGCCTTGGTAAAGCAGGACCTTGCTGTTCTCGACCAAGTGCTCCACCATGTACTTCACGCTCTTCATCACATCGTCGTTCAGCGCAGCTCCCACTACGTCGCTGCACTCGTCAAACGCTATTGACTCGTTGGCCTTCAGTGCCCTCTTCACTTCCTGCTTCTGCAAGATCTGGGTCACCCACTGGGTGTTGTACGGCACTTTCCTTGTGAAGTCGTACAAAGTGGCCAGTCCTGTCATGTTCTGCAGAGATCTCAACACCCCAGTTCGGGCATCCGTCGCTTGGCTCCAATTCCCCATCTTGGTGAGCTCGACAGCTTCCCACTGGGCTTTCTCGAGCTCGGATTTTTGCCTCTCGTTGATCAAGCCGGAGAAGTAAGCATTCGCGGCGTGAGTCGCCACTTGGGTCGCTGGGTCCGTCAAGCCGTTGCCTATGGCGACCCCCGCTAGATTCAGGCGCTGCGACGGCGGCAACTCCGCATTCCACTTCAACGTGTAGTACCCAATCGCGGGGACATACTTCCCCGCGTAACTCTCGCCGGTAACATAGATGGGGCGAGATTTAAAAGCCCTGTTGAGCTTAACGAACGCGGTTATCGCGGCGAAGAGATGCTTCGCAACGGTAAACTGGTCCCTCGGGATCTCCTCGGGAGAGGCGGCCACGCTGAACCCGACGCCGATGGGGTTATCGAGGAAGAGGAGGCCGAACAAGCGGTTCCAAGAGCCGGGATTGGGCTCGACCACCAGGTGTTCGACATTTCGCCCGACAGAGCTGACGCGCCAAGGTCCGAGCTCGTAGAAGTTGCCGATCATGGAGGAGCAACCGGGACCGCCCTGGAGCCAAATCAGGAGCGGGGTCTGCGAGGGAGGCGTGGTGGGTCGCTGGGCTTCATAGAAAGCGTAGAAAATGGCCGAACCAGAGGTGGGGCTCACCGGGAGATAGCCGGATTTCGTGGGCAGCGACTCTTTCGGGAGGAGCTCCGCGGTTGGACTCGAAATGGGTCGTGACGACGACGCCGACGAGGCAGGAATGCAAGCGATGCAGGAGAGCAAGAACAAGAGCTTGAGCGGAGGAGAGGCTGCTGTTGACTCCATCAAGATTCCCCAGTCCCAGCGAGCATCGTCACTTTGGCTCTGTTCGCGTGATAAGAACCAAGGACATTATTGAGAAGAGAACGGACGTAGGAGAAAACAACAAGCGGTGTCTGACAGTGACAGACAGCATTGCTGTCTGCTGGTGTGAAAGTTTGTCGAATTCACGCGCGGTTTTTCGTGGCTGGCTTTTACTGGCGTGCGCAGGGAATAATGGAACCTCGAAGCTCTTTGTCTTCCTCGTCCTCGCTTCGATTATTGGCTCTCATACCCTCCATCCGGAGCTACAGCTCCGATCGGTCCGTGCAATTGGAGCGGCCTTGTCTTGTCGGTAGTTCGAGATAATCACGATGTCCTAATCTCGCCGCCGGCGTAACAGAGGAGTTAAAGGTAGGGGTGATCGGTTCCCGATCTAGTCCAGTTCCAAGGTGAAATCGGGAACCGGACCGAGAGAACCGGTTTCCAATTTTGGGAACCGCGGACCGGACCGGTTGGTTCTAGAATCTGGAACCGGTCACTTAGAGTTTAGTTTTTTTTTTTTTTGTTAAACACTTAAGGTTTTGTTCATATTTTACTAATTTTTGTCAATGAATTTATGTCAATGAAGTTCACTTAAGGTTTAATTCACATTTTACTAATTTTTATCAATGAATTTATGATAATAAAGTTCATTTAGAGTTTAGTTCACATTTTATTAATTTTTTTAAAGAAAAAAATAACAAAAATATATATTAAATAGTTGGTCCGGTTCCCCCTTTGAACTAGGAACCGGATCGCCCGGAAACCGGTTCCGCTTTTAGGAACCGGGAACTGGACCGATAGTCTCGAGAATCGGATCAAACCCGTCGGTCCGATCCGATCCGATCCGGTCCGGTCCCAGTTTGGGCGGTCCAAGTTGCTCACCCCTAGTTAAAGGAGATCCGGACAGGACGGTTGCCCAATGTCCGAGGACTTGTGGGAAACCAAATAAAAAAAGTATATAACAAATTTTTTTATAATTTATGGAAATTTAAATTTTCAAATTTATGTAAAACTAAACATATACAATAAAATTAATGAGGATTAACAAGTGCCCTACGGACACTTTTTTAACATCTTTCTACGTGTAAATTTAATGATTAATTTTTTTATATTATACAGTTAACCGGATGATTACTTGATTAAATGAATGGGCATATAGTTTTAACTTTGAGAAGAAAAAGGAAAAGGGATAGTTGTTTTTTGAGAAGAAAATTAGGCGAGGGCGATAGTAAGGGTGCTAGAGTGGTGGATGGAAAAATTGTCCAAAAAGTCGTATACCTATTGTACAATGGCTATTAAAATCCTAAACTTTTTAATTGTACCAATTTAGTCATAAACCATTTGAGGATCTGTCAATTTAGTCCTTAATCTTTTAACGAATTACCAAAGTAGTCATTTTACAATCATACTTAGAATTCTTCGGGGAAAAAATGTCCTATTACGCCGTTCATGTGGGGATTGTTGTAATTATAGGTTATTAACGACTCAACATTATTGAGATGTCTCTTCAGTTCACGTGTAAAAGATTTAATAATCGTTTCTTCAGTTCATGAGCATAAGATTTAGGGAAATTGGCCAAAAAAATCTTAAACTTATTCAGTCGGTAAACCTTTTAATTTTATCAATCGAGTCATAAACATTTTTACATTTTGCCAATTAAGTCCATTCGGCCAATTTTACTCCATTCAGCCAATTTTGCCCAGAAAAATTGCTAATGTGGACGTTAGCCATCCTACTGACACGGTCGGTGCTAACGTTGACAAATTTTTATAATATTTTAATAAATTTTCTGTCGTCGACCAAAGGAGTAAAAATAAAATAAAATAAAATTTCAAAAAAATATTCGATAGTTTCCCCTTACAAACAATTTGCTACTTCTAACTAAATTCGTAATTCTACCTAACACGTTACTAAAAAACCTTTTTTTTTAACTCACTCCTCGCACGTGCCCCACGCATCCGCGCGTACTAGCGTTTGCTGTAGGCAACGGTCGTGTTTCCCTTCTCTTGTTTACATGCAAATTGCGTGCGGATGAGCGCCGTGATAGCAAAAAGGGAAAAGAAAACTAGCGAATTGTTGGGTGCAATATAAAAGAAAAAGGTCAGTAACATTTTAGAAAATGAAAAGGAAAAAAAATACTAGTATATGACTTAAAAAAATATCTGAGTCTCATTTTTTAGGAATTTCATAGTTAATCCCACGTAAGATTATGAAAGTAATTCGACTTTATTATTTTACGTTTATCACTTCACCAAGAAGCCCACCAACTTTTCTTGAGTCTGTCTAGTCTCCTTGCCCCACGGATGTTGCCTCCGATTTTGGGCGCTGCTCGCACAACTATTTATTCTCCATGCTAATTTAAACTTCTGTCCTCCATTGGGCCTCTATTTTTTGTTTTGTTTTTTATAATATAAGTATCTAAATCTCGTGACTCGACTCACCCCCACGAATACGGGCAAACTGACTCTTCAGTGCATTGGGTACGGCATAACCCACAAAGGACGCGGGCGTGGCCTTCAAATTCAATTCGAGTGACCGACGCTGTGATTTCAATACATAATCTGTTAGATCCGAACTAAGCATTTCTTTGTATGCTACGACTTAATTTCTTGTGTGTTTATGGATACTAGTGTCTGTGATGCAAAATAATCGCATAAGTGCAGCGAAGATTCGAAAACTTGTCGTAAAAGCGTAATTGAGTCCCAAAACTTTAAAAAAGTACAATGAAATCCTAAAATTTGTAAAGCTGGTCAATCAAGTCCTAAAACTTGTCAGTATTTTCCGTTTGTTAAGTTGGACGAAATTAATGAAATGACATGATTGCACCTTTTGAATAATTTTATGACTCGATTGCACTTCCGTAATAAGTTTTAGGACTTCGAGTGCACTTATTATTTTTCTTTTCATTAGACAAACCCTTGCGAATACTATATTATCAAAAAAGGAAATCATCGGTTATTGGGACCAAAATAAGGAATAAATGAAGGTAGATCAGAAAAAATGGAAAGGAAAAAAATATCACGGCTGAGAAAAAAAGAGACAAGCATCATATTAAAAAAAAAGACAAGTAAAAAGGAAAAAACACGCGATCACGAAAAAAAAAACACCAGAAAGTGGCCAAAAGGCAAAAGAAAAAAAATAAAAATAAGGAATCCGAAAATATTAAATGGAAAATCAGCAGAATCAGGAGGGGTGTATTTACATCGGGGAGATTCTCGCACACCCATTTTCTTTTTTATTTTTTATTTTTTGCCTTTTTGCGGTTTATTTAAGATAAAAGATTCCCTCCCGCATCTTTAATTGACTGACCGATAGACAGGTTTCTCCCGCTACAAGCAATCGCAAGCAAGCAAGCAAGAGAGAGAAGTTGCAGGAGAGAGAGAGAGAGAGGGAGGGAGGTTGGTGGTGGTGGTCCGATTGGAGATGGACGATGAAGTGGTGCAGCGGGTCTTCCAAGAAGGAGGGAGGGACTACTTCCAGCAGCAGCCTTCCACCTCCTCCTCCTCCTCCTCCTCATCGATCCTCCAGTCCCTCCCTCTCCACGTGGTATTGCGTCGATTGATTGCGTTTTCTTTGCGCTTGTGTCTATCTTTCGTTTGTTTCCTGGAATCGATGCGTTTACGTGCGCGCATTTCCGGTGCTGGCGGCGATCGGCGCGAGCTCGGAGCTCGTCGGCAGCGGTTTTGAGGGGGGGGGGGGGGGCAGAGAAATGGACGGAGACGGTGGCGTTTTCAGTCTGTTCCGGGAAAGCCGGTGTTGGTGTGGGTGGATTGGTGGGGTTTGGTGCGACATGATTTTGGGCATCGGGATTTGGAGGAAAAGACACGAGCTTGGAGATGATGGGTTTTCGTGTTGTGTTCCGCGAGGAGTTATTTGGTTGGTGCTCGGGAGTTAAATTATCCTGGCATGATCATTGTCTGAGTCAACATTGATCGTCAACGGGCTAAAGAGATTTTTCCAGGAAGCAATTTCTTTTGGCACTAGTTCTTGCTGTGATGTTAATTCTCATTATCGCTATTCCTGGCAACGTCCTTCAGAAACTTTTGCGTATCTTGCTTATCGCATGTTGTTTATTGCAGTCTTTTGATCACGGGTATTATTTGTTGGTAAAATCCATTCAAGAACTTCGGGAGAAGAAGGAAGGTCTCGTTACTGTGGGGATTGGAGGACCTAGTGGTTCGGGTAAATCGAGGTACTTGTGCTATCAAAGTTTGCCCTTTATATCACAGTTTCAGCAAATTAGCGAAAACTGAAACTTGTCAGCGAGTTTCCTTGCCTGAATTGCGCTCATCACTTAGTTGTTCAATTGTTTATGAAGCTTAGCAGAGAAGGTGGAATCTGTAATTGGCTGTGCTGTTATATCAATGGAGAACTATCGAATTGGATTTGATGAGGGGAACGATTTGGACTCTATAGATTTTGATGCATTGGTTCAAAACCTAGAGGTCTGTATACTTGTTATCTTTACAATGGTTGCTTATCTTAATACAATCTACAGCTTTTTTTAGCCATAAGATGCTAATGATTTAGTGGTACTATGGTGACACCTTTTTAGTTAATGATTGTTCTAGGATACTCATAATATGTATACTGACAACCAAATACTCGAAATTGATAGTTTCATGAATTTTCTCCTTGATTTGCTTTAGCTAATATCTTGGTGATTCTTTGATAGTTTGAGGGCATGTTAAACCGAGTATCAATGGGACTGAATTTTGTGTCACGAGGATAGGATTGTTGCCAATGACATGCTTGGACAAGGGCGCTTGAAGTGGAGGAGTTAAAAGCTCGCATGGAGTCACTGCACACACGTGCGCGTGTGCAGAGAGAGAGGGAGAGAGAGACTTTTGATAAGTGTAGAAGAAGAGAGGAAGGTGTTTATTGTTGATAGTGATGGAACATCATTGAGTGTGTTATGGGAACTTTGGAGGCTCCATGAGGGTTTATACTCTTCTTCACTTGCAATGTTGTAGCTTTTAACCGTGCAGGACTTACTTGTATACATACCAAATCCTTGGAGTTTTTCTCCATGCACTTTCATCGATGTAAGTGCAATATTCCTGCAGAACAATCCTTGTAGATTTCCTGCTCTAGATCACCCTCACCGCTCCCGGATTCTTCATCTCATGCTCACTAATGCCTGAATAAATATGAGACACGTCCTTTCCTAGATTTAAATGGTTGCCAATGTAGAGAGCATCAAATGAATAGAGATCTTTGGACCATCAGCTAAAGAACACAAAACTATCATACTCTCTCCTAGAGTAGCCTAGACCGCTTATGAGCATTGAAGCGTGTGTACCATTGTGTAAGAGATGTTTCATTCCATATAACAAGTTTTTTCAGCGTGCATGTATTATATTCCTTGCACGAAATTGCCCAGGCTGATGCATGTAAATATGCTCCTCTAGCTTTCGATGTGGCCAAGCAATTTTTCTGTCAAGCCGCTCTTACTCCGATTACTGTAATTTAACAATCTCAGAAGCACATGTTGAAAGCTGTTTTACATAATTGGAGAGAACATATCATCGAAATGAATTCCTTCTCGCCAAGTGTAGCTACTAGCTACTAACCATGCTTTATAGTCGGATGCCTCTATACTGTGGATACCTTCCTTTTTTTTCTTGTAGACCCACTTGCAGCTTACAATCTTTTGACTGTCTATAGTCTCACTGGCCTTATGGCTGATTCCTACAAAAGAATTTCAACATTTTCATTTATGGTTATTGTTCTCTATGCGGAATCAGGGCTTGAGATAGCCTCATCTCATGGCAATAGGATGGATCCTTAGGCTCGACGTCCACGTCTTGGCTAAAGATATGCAACAACATCTGGAACCCATCGCTTTGCGAACTCATAATCTACCTCATCTTTTTCCTAGTATTCGAGTGTCATTATCCCAAACTCATCGATTGCTTTTTTTGAGCTGGGTGATCCCTCATATGCGTGCATGCTACTGCTAGAGCTTAGTGAAGCCCCCGTGGCATGTGGACTCTAAATCCAGGTTGCCAATCTTAAGTTGTTTCCCCTTTTTCTCTTTTTATGAGGTTTTCACTTTACCATGAAGAGTTAAATTCATAATGTGAAACTGGGAGTACGTGTTCTCAAAGTTGTGATTGTGAGCTGTTCTTGTGATCTCCTCGATTGTTCTAGTGGTGATTCATTTCTATTCTCCCTGTGGATATAGGTTGTTGACTGAGTTGTGTGAATGTCTTATACATTATTTTACCATTTCTGCTTGCCGTGTCTAATGATTTAGACTTTATTAATAGGATCTGACAAATGGAAAAGATACTTTGGTACCTGTGTTCGATTTTCAGCACAAAAGATGTGTCGGTTCAAAGACAATTAAGAGTGCTTCCTCTGGTGTGGTACGCTTCTATAACTCGGGGGTTGACATGTTGCTTGGCACTGTTGCAGTGGGTTCATTTGTTCTTCAATTAATTGTTTTAGGTGATTGTCGATGGTACTTATGCTCTACATGCGAGGTTACGGTCGTTGCTAGATATTCGGGTTGCTGTGGTAATTTCTTTTTCAAAAATTGCACGACTCATTTGATTCGTTCTTAATAAGATAATTGTATGATCAGATTCGTCTCTTCTCTGGATCAGGTTGGTGGTGTCCATTTTAGCCTCCTTTCAAAGGTCCAATATGATATTGGAGACTCTCGTTCACTGGATTCTCTCATTGACAGCATCTTTCCATTGTTTAGGAGACACATTGAGCCAGATTTACACCATGCACAGGTTGGTCTTTCATGTTTGCCATTTTTGAGCTTGCTGTCCTTGCTTATTTTTTGGACTTCTATGCAGATTAGAATCAACAATAGCTTTGTTTCATCATTCAGGGAAGCAATCTACAAGATAAAATGCAGAAGCGAGGTTCGTATTGTGCAATTTTCAAATTTAAATCTGGGAGAAATCATTACCTTCACTAGGATAAGACTTTGACCTCATTCATGTTTATGTGCTTACTTTGTCTTTTTTGTTTGAGTGTTTATTTTGGTCATATATTTCTTGCCATCTATTACAGTGGATCTCTAATGAGTGCTAGTTCTGCTCTAGCTTCTTCTCCCTGTACATTTTTTTAATTTGTGTACCCCACTACTCTGTCCCCCCCTCCCTGCTTCCCCTCCCCACCCCAACAGTAAAATTTATATAGCCAAAAGTTATCCTGTGTAAACCATGAAATGCAGGTATAAAAGAGTGAGGATAGTTAAAATCATGATGGAACCTGTCCTATGTTAGTCATCTCAGGGTACAAAAGTTCTGAGATGGTCACTGTTTTGGTGAACCTTTCTATGCGTGACCATACGAAGGGGCCTATTACTGATATGTCGGACAGTAATTTTTTTTGAATTCAGGAATTGCAATATTAACGTAATACTCTGAAAAGACTAATTGAGTTTAGTGGGACTGATGCAGAGTTATGATCCAATGCTTATATGTAAACCCCATTGGGACTTGTGAGTACTTTTTTTTGTTTAACTAACAAAAAGAGGGAGTAATCTACTTCCTTGTTATTCTTGACACATTTTATTGTTCGATACTTTAGTTGTTCTTGGGATTCTTTAAAATTTGTTTCATGGTGTATAATCAACAAACTTTTTCGCCAATAGTGCCTTCTTCACAAGTAATTACTGTTACTTGTGATATGTATTTACATCATGGTTACTTAAAATGCTGTGTTAAGAGTATGTCGTACTGAAAGTCATGATCCGTGGTAGTTTTTCAAGAAGTTTTAAACAAAACATGCTATTATGAACGCCATCTCCTGTTTGAATATATTTTTCCTATGTGTTTTGTGGTGGGAACTTTGAATTAATAGTGCAACATAATGTTACAGTCTCCAGATTCCTTTCCTGCCCAGGTTCTCCAAGGAAATGAAGCTCAAACAGATAAGTAAGTATATCTGCAAGCTGCTACTCTTTTGTAACGAGTGAACTTGGTTGTGGGGGGTGACATCCTCTTTTGCTTTTAGCTTTATTGAGATGTACCTGAGACCTCCATCAGCCAGTGAAGAAGCACGAATAAACGATTGGATTAAGGTGCGTCAATCTGGTATTAGGTACTATCTTTCCCTGGGTGACCAGAGGATTGTGGACAAGCATTTCATTATCCGACCCAAAGCAGAGTTTGAGGTAAGAAACATCTCATATTTCATTACACTAAATAGTCGTCCTTTGAGTTGACTTGATGATTTACTATGCTGATGTCTTGTCCTCTTTATCAGTTTTGTAAGGTTTCTATTTCACTCCTATGAACCTTGACATGCAGCTAGATATAGCATTTGAGACAGTTTTCTTCTGCAATTTGAGAATTGGCATATGTAAGAATCAACTTACACATATATTTGATAGTAGCCATGAGAGTAACGTGTCCATAGAATATTTCCAAACAACTGTATCAAGGAATTATGAAGATGGAAACTTTTGGTGGTACTCCGATTAATAGTCATAGTTGCTTCATTTTTTAAGTTGTCAATTTGTATGGCTACAAACAATTATGTTTACTCAATGCTGCATGTTAGATAATTGTCTGATCTCAACTGATAGTGTCATTTCATGGCTTTGACTAACTTTGTCTGAGCAGACTTGCCTTTTGCAATTTGGCAATTCAATAAAATTATTGACTTTGGCTGATTTTTTATCCTTGAGTTGTGTTCCTACTAAAATTCTGATGAATTGGGTGGCTATTCAGGTCTGTCTCTCTTTGATCTTATATTGAAACAGGTTGGACGGATGACACTAGGTGGATTGCTGGCTTTGGGTTACACAGTTGTGGTCAGTTACAAGAGGGCGTCTACTTTTGTTAGTATGGGCAATCTCTCAACGGCTCTCGAAACCATTGATAGTCTTAGCGAGACATTCATGGTGCTGAGGGGTACAAATAGGAAAGTATGAATTTCTCATAAGATACTGTAGCTTTATATTATTTTTTATGCGAGATGTGTGTTCAACTAGCATTTCCACCAGGCTTTGGAGTACTTCCTCTTTGGGGCGTGTCTATTTTTAAAGTCAAGTAATAATCTTGTATGCGACCTATTTGAAGAAGGTTGCTTGTGTTAGTACCCCAATAATCCCCATGGTGGATCTCATGGACATCAATTACTGCCTAAAAACAATCAAATTGTTTTGGACTTGCAAGAATAAAGAAATAAGAAGTTACCTACAATGGTGTGAATCGAATAAGTTAATAAATCATTTTCCATGTAGTCCTTTGTCAAACTGCTTGAAGTTCCTGCTACCATTGGGCTCTACGTTCTCTCTCTGTTGAGCTTCTTTAGCTCTGTATCGTGTGCTCAAGATGCAGCTTCTGTTATGATGTCTCTGTAAATTTGTGCTATTTGAGTATCTGTGCTGCTCTAATTTGCTAGTTTGAACTTTGTATGCTTAACTGTTGTTGAATTTCCCATTCAGTTGAGGAATCTGTACATAATATTGGAGTTTATTTTGGTCATTTGTTGTGCTTTAGGCTGTTGGTGCAGAAGCATTGCGGTTGGGTATAACAGGACCATGGATCACAAAGTCATATTTGGAAATGATTCTTGAGACGAAAGGTTGGAATATATCCCGATGTCCTGATTGTTCATTTATTTCCTTTCTAGTAGCGACAATTGCAGCTGATCCTTTTCACCAACTTTTTGTTAATCTGATTACAGGTGTCCCGCGCCTTAATACACCACCACCATTGTCAAGTGTACCTGTGACTGGAAATCAAGAAAGAACTGTTGTCGCCCCGAAGCCAATTCGTGTTACCCCAAATCTTGTGACACGGCTTGAGGATCTGTCACAACCATGGACTCGATCCCCTACAAAATCCAAAATGGAACCCCTTGTTGCAACTTGGCACTTCATTTCGTCGGATCCTTCCAATGCTGATAATGCAGTCTTAGGTATATTCACAGTACTACTGTGCTTTGTTCTTGCGTCTAAATAAGTAGTTAAATTGATTGTAATATAGAGGTCTTTTCTAGATATATTTAAGGCTTCTCTCATGAAGCAGCCGCAGATTCTTCTTCTTTCAGGGATACTATGAAGCTTGCTCCGATGCCTGATTCATATGATCTTGATAGAGGCTTGCTTCTAGCTGTTCAGGCAATTCAGGTAAGCACTGCAAATTAAGCCAGAGGCTCACAGGCTCACGTACGTAGACATTTGGGTACCTGAGTTTTCTGTTTGTCTCTCTGTTTTAGCAAGTTTCCTTAACCTTATATTTTCTATTTCCTGATGCAGGCATTGTTGGAGAACAAGGGTGTCCCTGTTATTGTTGGAATTGGTAATGTGGGACTTTGATCATTTGCGAACACCCTTCCTCTATATTGCCTCATAATTATGTTGGCAATTACTTGTGTTGTGTTTGCGTGCATATTTTTCCTTCAAAGAATTTCAAGCATTTAGAACCATATCATGAGAACTGGTAATAATAGAAACTTCTACAAACACAACATTCTCTGGAGGCCACTTTCACTATAGTGAATTACTGCTAGTAACCTGTTCTAAATTGGATGATTTCTCAGGACCAGAGCGCTAGAAGCAATTCGTATGAGACAGAACAAATCCTCTAGTGGTGTCGTCTGTATTCTTATTTTTAGTACATTGTACATGTCAAAACCCAAAAAGTAACTAAATGAGTTTGATTGGTGATGAGCATGCATTCATAACTTCATTTGATAAATTAAGTCTTTTCACTTGGTGATGTCTAAGAAGATTATAGTTTGCAACAGGAGGGAAACTGTTTTGGGGCTAAACTTACCGGGAGGAGAAGACAACTAAATTGAAAATGAAGTGTCATAAGAACTTCTCTGCTTGGAAAATTTGAATGTTCTCCTCAAGATTTTCCTTAAGTATCGGGCATTCGAATACTCATATAAGATTGCCATTGCTAAGATACAGAATAGTTTTTTCTCCTTTTTCTAATAGCTTAAGGTCTTTGAACAAACAGTCACGCATTTCAACATGTGTGTCAGATTATAGCACGTCATGACTCCAGGGCCGATACTCCCTCTTACAGTTGTTCTATTTTCCTTTTCTAGTCTCCATCTTACAGGTGAGGGGTAGTGTTAGGAAATAAACTAGATTTAAAGCGTTGCCCAATCCCGAACTGCTTAAGTTTTCTCAACAAGTTCATATGATGGATATGAATGATTTGCATCAATTCAATGTTGTTGAGGTTCTGGCTGTTCATCCAGACATCTAATGTGAAAGAGAACAAGAAAATAGTTGTTGCAGAAAAAAGTTTTTGAGTTGCCTGTTAGACGAAAGTTAAAACTATCGCTAAAATGATTTAATGTAGCCACTCAACTGACATTCTTGGAACCTGGGTATTTCAGTATGTCAATGACTTGTTTGCTTTTATTGTTGTTGCAGGAGGTCCAAGTGGCTCTGGAAAAACTAGTTTGGCTCACAAAATGGCAAATATAGTAGGCTGTGAAGTGGTTTCTCTTGAAAGCTATTACAAAACCGAGCACATGAGGGATTTTAAGTATGATGACTTTGGGTCTATTGACCTATCTTTGCTTTTAAAGGTAAGCAAGAAAAGAATAATGGCTTAAGTTGCTGTTCATAGGATCCTTCTCCTTGGCTTTAAATGCCTAAAACCAGTTTAATGGTCTTGTGGTAAAGAAAGGAATAGGGCAGATACTATTTGGGCTATATATATGTTTTTTTTTTTTTGGTAAGAAGGGCTATATATATGTTTTATGTTCTATGACAGAAGAATTGCTATCACTAAACTTTCAAGTGTCTATTATCTGGCTTATGCTTTATGGGGTAAAACTAACATTTAGGCAATTATTTTTTTTTCCAAAGACACTATATTTGCAGGACAAATTGAACTTGATATATATTTCATGGCTTCTGTTATTGGTTTGAAAGAAAGGATTAGTTAGGTCTAATGTTTTTGTGGCTTTTTTTGGTTCAATGCTGAAGTAGGCACTATACTGTTTGTTATCTTGTGCTGTCTTCATCCCCAGTGACCATCTCTTGAGTTCTGTTACTTTATTTAATCTGCCTCGTGAAAGGATGCCGTGTTCCTATGTATACTTTTCTTTATTTTTTTGGCCATTTCTGTGTTACTTGATTGTCCCTCGTCAACTACTTGGAATTTCATATAGTATGCGCTAGGCAATCCCTTCTGTGCTGGGTCCTATACATTTTGTTCACTCAGGTTTCTTGACTCAAATAATGAGGATGCGGTCATCTTATTGTTGACAGCTTCGAATAGTTGTCAAGCAATTATTTGGAATCTTCGAGCTAATATCTGACTTTATGACATTTGCAGAATATCAATGACATAAAGAAGGGTCGGAAAACAAAAGTACCAATATTTGACTTGGAGACTGGTGCTCGAAGTGGATTGAAGGAGCTCGTAGTTTCTGACGATTGCGGTGTGGTGTGTCTTGATGGTCCTTATAGATTACTCCTATGTCTTTTCTTAATTCAATCTCCTTAAGAAGTCTCGCAATTCAAACTTCTTAGTTGTCTATGATTAAATTCCTCTCTCTTAGCAATAGATTCCTCATGGAAGAAGTTATAAAATTGGTAAATTAAAGAAATAGGCTAAAAGAGGAAGTGGGACTGGTCATTTGATTTTCCAAGCTTCTTAACTTGCAAAGGGAAAAGATGTAAAGCTCGTGTCGAGTGGAGGGAAGGATGCAAAAGGGTGTTAGTGGGGGAGTTGAGACCACATTTTGGAGACTGTACACCCCTTTTAAGATCCAGAGTGGACTCAACTTGGTAGAAACCAACTTACGGGTTAAGATTCTGGATCTGGATATCAGTGTAACCATGAAATCTTCTCAACTGACAAATGCATGACTTAGAAAGAGGTATTTTTCATCCAATAGCTTTTGCTGGTATCCTAGCAGCAACAACTTAGTTTAAGAGTGTCTTTTAGTGCGGACAGGACAAAAACTTGCCGTCACTCGTATATTGTCGATTGAAGCTATTTCAATCTAAAAATTACCTTGAAGACTGTCGTGTTTACTCAATTATCATGCACGATCATTATCGATGTAAATGTGAAACAGCTTTTGTTGTAATCAGTGTTGTGTGGTTTATATGGTTTGTTAAATATGCTGTTTTCTCTATGGGTTGTGATGATGCCATGTAGTTGTTTGAAATATTAAAACAATGCAATGGATTTGGCTTGTAGTCCGGCAATAACAAAGTAAGCAAGAAGAGAGAGAAAGAAATGGGATTGAAGTAGGTTTTCAAATTTTAGCATCAGCAGTCTTGATCTATTAGATCCTGAACAAAAGCTGTACTTCCTTCAGAATCTATGTGACCGGGGGACAATTATTATCTTTAAGTTTGAGCTCTCATCTATATTTATGATATAGTGAATATTGCTGCCAATTTAATTTTTCCTTTTTCCACTGGAGCAGATAATTTTTGAAGGCATATATGCTCTGCATCCTGATATCCGAAGAGCACTTGATCTGTGGATTGCTGTTGTACGCACTGGTTTATACTTTTTATGTAATCCTTCCGATCTTCATTTTTTTCTAAATCTTGAACATCAATGTCTAAATGCCTCTCAACGCTTTTCAAACAGGTTGGAGGCGTTCATTCACATTTGATATCTCGAGTCCAAAGGGACAAAAGCAGAGTGGGCTGTTTCATGTCTCAGAATGAGATCATGATGACTGTCTTCCCCATGTTCCAACAGCATATCGAGCCCCATCTTGTTCATGCACATGTAAGTGAATCTGGGATTATAAGGCCGAAATGTTTAATTTTAAGTGAATTTTTCCTAATTTGCTCTATCATTTAGATAATTTACCTTGGAGAAATATGAACTGTTAGATGCTCCTTTGTTCTAATTGTCTTCTTTGAGGGTTAACTTTGGTCCTGCATTGCAGCTCAAAATTCGGAATGACTTTGACCCAGTACTTTCTCCTGAGAGTTCGCTGTTTCTTTTGAAGAGCAACAAACAAGTAATAGCACTACAATGGCTCTATTGCTCCTATCTTGAATATTTATTTGTTATGTACAATGAAATAAAATGCCCTTCTATACTAGGTGGCTTATCAAGATATTCTAAAAATTCTGGACCGTGCAAAGATCTGCAGTTCTGCTCAAAATTTCATTGATATATACTTGCGGCTTCCTGGAATTCCTGCTAATGGACAGTTGCAAGAGAGTGACTGCATAAGAGTCAGGATATGTGAGGGCAGATTCGCCGTACTGATACGGGAGGTTTGTGATGAAGTTGCAATTATCATCTTTCTACTTCCTATAGCTAACGGAAATACTAGCTTCTCATTCTCTTCTAAACAATATATGTCAGCCTATAAGGGAAGGCAATTTCATTATTCAACCCAAAGTAGATTTTGATATCAGCGTCAGTACAGTTGCTGGTCTCTTGAACCTTGGGTGAGTTATATAATAGCTGGTCTAATTTACTAACTCCTTTATTTACTGCAGAATTTTATATCAATTGAAATTTAAGTTTTGTAAGATCTTGTAATGTATCCTTATTCTCGTGATCTAATGCTAGTGAGCTTGACATGGTCGTGTTCTCCCAAAGTAGATAGCGGGGACTCTGTCTAAGTAATGCTTATTTAAAAGTTTTCTTATATAATAACTTTAGGATCTCTTACTGTCAATAGTTCTGGGTACATAGGAAGGTGTTCATTTTTTTGAGTTTCTACTGGATATTGATGCCTTTAGAGTGATAATTGAACAAAAGAATGATCCCTTTAAAGTTTTCATGCCATATACTGACCTTAGATTAGTGTGTAGAAGCCATCCTTAGTTTTGACTGTAGTGGATTTTCTTGAATTTTTATAACTGTCTGCTCAGGAGCATTTTCTTATATGCGGGAGTGACAGTAGAATTGATGGTTCTTGTTTTCTGGTTATGTGCGAGAATATGCCAAATGCTGAATAGGGTGGTGTCTGCTGTATATTCTCACGTGAGAGAAACCTAGTCCGTAGAAGTTTCTTGATATTGATTTGTGATTCTTGAGGAAGAATTGTAGTTTTGTCTCTCGTTGGGTGGAACAGTTTGGAATGCCAAAACGAGGAAAAGCTTTGAGGATAGAAAATGATGCTGATTTTAGAGAGATTTGTTAAGTATCCAACATTGTTTGTTTTTGGGTCTTGACTGGGCCTTATGTACACGTTATCTCCTTCCACCTAATAGTTTAAGCTTTTGGGTTTAATATCTTAACAAAAAATTAATATTTTATTTCACTTGTGGTCCTTGTCTGTCTAACCGCTTTCATCATTCCACTTCCCGTTTGCACCTGAAAGGGTATATTTAATGTCCTATATCACTTGTCTACCAGGCTTGTTAAGGCTTTATCTATACTTTCCCTAGGCCGTATAGCTTAAGGGCATGTCTACAAGGTATATTTAGGCCTCGTCTCTCTACACCTTATAGCTTACTGTGCACTCATTTGACCATATTAAACCCAAAACACCTAACACTTTCATAATGACAGAAATGTTGACACATACATCAGCGTTTAGTTTTTCAATTACTTTTTCAAATTTGGATGTTATTTAAATTTTTCCGGGAAAGGAAAAAGGTAGTTTTTGCCTATGCTGAAATAGAAGTGAACAAGCTCTAAGTTTTTGGGTTGGATATTCTGACGAAACTTTTCTAGAAATGGACCTGTGAATGTGGTGAAAGCTTTAGTATTTCCTTAGCTAATATGACTTTCCGCGCTAACAGAAGTATAATTACCAATAGTTCGAGGGCAGTGTCAGGAAAACTTCTCTCATTCTTTGATCACTTACTGAGATGGTTGTCTAAGGCAGTTCAACCTTGCATTGGACCCTCCAAGCTAAGAATTTCAGAGTTATTCATAGGAGTCACAACTCACGTCTTCTTCTGCAAGGAATAGAAAGGTGAAATGAAGATACCTGCATCTTCTAGCCAGGATACGACTCGATGGAACATAACCTGTCGGGCATACATAAGCCTGTTTATTGATCTTTGATCAGGGGAGAAAGCTTTTCTCTTTTCTGACATTAAGACTTCTAGTAGCTTGATACAGTTTTATAAGAAATTAGATTCAACTTCCATAGTTCCAAGAGAAAATGGTTCTTGGACTTCTTACCACTTGCTTCAAGAAGTTTACATTAAAGTGCTTGGACAAAGAGAGATGTTGTGATCTGTATCTCACAGCAATTTAAGAGGTGCCTTTCCCTCTTCTCCTTCTCCTATTCTTTATGTGGAAACAACTTTTGTGTCTGTGTCCTTGTTCATTATCTTTGAGTATTGAAGCTGTGGTGAGAGTGAGGAAAAAGCCTCTCTGGAGAGATAGAAGAAGACTGATCCCATTTGATTGCCCTCCCCAAACCTCACAAATAGGAGCCTCGGTTGCTGCAAAACTTTTTGGAATTACTAAACCACTATTCTTTCTTTTACATGTCCCACACGTGTGCATTCCTCATTTAAATTTTTACCTTTATCTGCTACTTTGAAGAGCTCTTCATACATGCACAACTGTTATGGATGCACTCTAGCTTCCCTGTGTTTTGGGTTCGGTCCACTTGTAGCTGGTGGCTTTGGTTTGGCAATCTGTTAATAAAACCTTCTCTCTTTCTCCCTTGTCTTCTCCAGGTATCAAGCTGTGGCATATATCGAAGCTTCGGCCTTCATATATCAAGATGGGAAGGTTATAATAGCTGACAACCTTTGATTTTCCTTTCCTTGCTGGTTACAATAGTTGACAGCTTATTAGTAGGCAAAACTTCTTGCATCTTTTATATGTGCTCAATTTGATATGTTCACTAAGTGGCATTCGATCTATGTGTAACTGGGGTCCTTTCATTTTGCTGACTTTTGGAGCTTGCTTACGGAGTCTTAGTTGCAGCTTTTTTTTTGCCACTTGAATATCAGCGATTTTCAGGTACTCATGTGGAGACCTCTAAAAATAAACTTGACTGAGGTAAAAGGAGTGTTTTTATAATAGTTTGCGTAGGTTTCAAGTTCATTGAAGTCCTGTGAGGTTAAATTCAATTCAATAGCATCATCTTCAAAGCCTACCATACAAATTCATTCTTAACGAACAAGCTCTGCCTGGAATTTTGAAGAACTTGGGTACCAATTTGTATTCCCAAGTTATACTCAGGGAGGCCTCATTGGCAGATTACATTCTGGTCAATGTACGATTTACAAGCAATGTTTGTGATGCATTGCAACAGGATATTACATTGAGTACCAATATGACGCAGTTCTTTTCGAGATTTTTAGGATCTTAAGTAATCCAGAAAAAAGAAAGCTCTAAATTCCTATACTCCTTGGTGGCATTACAGTGCTTCTTCTGGACAAGGCCACTAATTTCAAACTTACCACCAGGTGATGACATAACCAGTTGTCATCGCATCGCAGCATCTCCCTTAATGGACCACTTCTAATAACTCAGTATTTTAAAACTTTCTGTCTGCATTGTTAGCATCCTTCTCTATCAGTTTCGGGCATATGACTGATCATCTGATATTTCTACTTATTTATCCATTTATTATGCCCAAAGCTCATTATTTCCTGATGAGTCGAGCCAACCTTTTTTTCTGGTGTTTCTTGCTCGCATTTGACTCGAGGACTTATTAGCATGAGATCTTATCTGCATATCGTCCATATTATCTGTAATGTATGCATGCGGTGAGTGATGATTGACTCCCTGCAATTCTGATCTGTATTCTACATATAGTTAATTTTTTCAGCAAGTCATTGAAATTTATGAGTTTAGTTTCTTGTACTTATTATGTAGCAGAACCTGGAGCACATTTTCTTTTTTAAGACTTTGACTGTATCTATATGCATCTGTCAGATTCTCATTGAAGTTGACCATCTACAAGATATTCCTAGTCCTTATTTGCAAATCAAAGGGGTCAACAAGGAGGCTGTAACATCTGCTGGTTCAGCTCTAAAGTTGGATGGCTCCTATACAACTAAGGTTCTTCCCTTCTTACGTGAAGTTATTTAGTCATTTTAAGCTTGATGTCTTGACACGTATAGTTGTCGTGCTTTATGTTAACTAAAATTTTGCTCTTCATTAGAGCTATCTTCAAATAATTATGGAAAGATTACCAGCAATAGAAAGGAGTTCCAGTGGGATTCATACTCGACAATCCGCAAGATTGCAGGAGCTTGTGGAGCTTATACAATCTCAGGTGCTTACCTCCTACCTACTTCAAGTTGCTGACACTTTACACAACAAGGACTCACTAGTTTCGTTAGGCAAATAGTTTCTTGTGGTACTAATGCCATGCTAAGTCAAATCAGTCCACTATTCTAGATCTCTTAACTGCTTCTTCATAGAATAAATACCGCAGTTCTGGTTCTTTGCAAATATACTTTTCCTTTATCTAGGGGGGCCTAAAACTCTTAACAACTTACAAAAAAATTTGTTCTATAATGGGTGGATAATATGTCATCTATCTATTGAAAGAGTTTGTTGAACTGCTTTGTCATCATATTTGAACCAAAAAGAGTGAATTTTGATCTCTACGTTTGCCTGAGATGGAACTTATCTTGCGGCAGCATCATGAAAATGTAGTATTTCGTGTGACAGATATTGAAGCAGACCCAATTGAGCCATGTAGTTTAGGTGGTTATTGAATGCTCAGGGTAAAATTTGTCTTGGTAGACAATGTCATGGATGGACATATTCGATTAGCTTGCCTACCCTTATTGTGGGCATTGGTATATCCTATGTATCAGCCACGATGGATACTAGAATTCTGAACTTGTATTCTGCACATTTTATTTCATCGTGTAGGGAAGCTGTTCAGCTTCAGAATCCTCACCAAGTAGAGAAGTCATTCCAATAGAAGGTGTGATCGAGGACATGCAATCCAGGATTAGAAGGCTGGAGCGATGGCATGCGATTAATACGGTATTTATCAATCTCTCTATTCGGATGTTCACTTGTTTCTTTCCTCGAGGGATCATGTGAAGTATATATTTGGGGGTGGTTGTGAACGTGTGACCTATGCTTTTCCACTCCGTGGAGCAAGTAATTTACATCTATTTTCAGAGTTCAGAGATCTATATGCAAGGCAAATTGAGCAGTGCGTAGTTCTTGCTCAACTGCTTATAGGCATAGCAAACTGTATTATTGTTCTTTTTGTTGCCCTAATTTATATTCTTTTGATATGTCTGATATTTTCAGGTCTTGTGGACTTTTCTGATGTCCGCCCTCATTGGCTACTCGCTTTATCAAAGAAAGCGCCAATGACTTTTCAGACTCCTTGCGTGTACATATTCCTATTTTTTTCTTTGATAGTAATTGCTTATCACAAGGGCTGATTCAACTTTCTCAAGGCCACTGGTCTCCGATCTCCCTCAGCAATGATTTTGCTGAAGGCCATTAAATTAACCCAGAATTAGAAGAGGAAACAAACTCCGCAGATTGTAGATGCCGGTGCAGGATTTGCTTAATTCTTTTTCTTCTGCGTGTACTTGTTAGGATATTCAGAACATGAACACCTGTTTAACAAAAATCCTTGGTTTCCTACGATCCCATGGATCGGTTGATATTAGAATGCCGACAGAAGCGGAATCCCTTCATGCTACTTTTCCATCTATGCCTTTTGTTGCAGAATGAGCGATTACCGAGAAAAATAAGGCACGTGAACCCGTTATCAAACATGGCATCCACACGAAATCAGTATGCTCTTGCGGCGCCGAGTCAGTCATTTCTTAATCAACTATCGTAGTCTGTCCAAATAAAGAGTCCTTAGACTGCAGGCAAAGGGGGGAAATACCTTAACTGCCTCAGTCAACATCTCTTTACTCTCGGTATTTTGTGGTGTACTCAATCTCTCCTGTAAATGTGAATTACGCTCACGTAGGATCGAAACAACACATTACAAGAATGAATGAATATGACAAAGTTCATACTGGACTTGGTAAAGGTGGATCTACCACCAACTAAAGAGGTACATGCTGAAGTCGTGACAAGTTGCATGCACATGATACTTTGACAGTAAACAGTAGATGTCAGTAATTCATCTTGATTAGAGTATAACGAACAAAAGTGGAGTCATCTGCCATGAACATTGGCTTGAAATGATTGGTACGCCTAATACACACGGTAGAATATCTTCAGGAGGCTGTAAAGAATCATAATCCATCTGTCGACGATGATCAAAATAAAATGTTCACCAGTCAATTTGATACTATAAACAGTAGCATGACGCAACCTGCTGAAATAAATCCACCTCGTGCTTTTATCACACCTATAGATAGATGTCCAAAAACCGAATCGAGGTCAACTACATTCACTGCACAATAGACCAATTTGAAGGGCCACACATTGGTTAAATCACTGGGATGAAACATATTTCACACTGACGAGTCATTTCATGTCCCTAAAATTCGCTTTGCAAATTTAGCTTCCCTTATTTTCATGCATCAACTATCGCCTTAGTTTAGGAAAAGTGACCGTGCTAGGGGAAAAGGCCCCGTCTCCTCATGAATTCCGCAGCTATTGCAAGTAGAACTATAAATATAATGAGCCACAATCTTGATCCTCCTGCATTAACAAAAGATCAAAAAATAATGAAACAGTAGTAACAAGCTAGGGTCGCATTACAACTAATTTCTTCTTTGGAAGTATGCTTAGGTATGGAAAACTGACAAATATAGAAATATGATAACCAAAGAAGCTATCTAAAATCAAAGACCAAACTCCAAAATTTGAAAACCTCTAGAATTCAAGGTCTAAGTCACAAGGAGCTTGACAATTTTCAGAACGTCCTTCAAATGAAAATACAAATTCAAGTACCATGGATCCAAAGATCTTCATAGCACTTGGAGGTACTGCACTCCAATAACTAGGACTCAACATTCTTCAAATTGAGGATTTTGTATATTCATAAATCTGACGGATGGATTTAGAGGTGGAGTCTCCATTTGCCACAATCTCAAGGGGAAACGAGGTGGAGGGATTAATTAAAAAAAAGTCCCAAATTACAGTATTCATTCTGTGGAAAGAATGAGGTTCTTTTCAATCAATAGACATGATGTGAATAAGGCACCATAGACCTCAATCAACTTTCAAGAGAAAATGAAAGATCAATATCTAGCATAAAATTTCTCTTCCCTTTTTGGTTTACAGACTTGAGTCCTTATATATAATACTTGAATGCTGTAGTACACCTGAGCTCAAGTTTGAAAGGTTGACCTATACGGAAGTCTATAGATTCTACGTTTGTCTTTAACTCACGGAAATATTCTGTCTCTGAGCCTTGCCATATTCCCACCTTTTACACAACATGTATTTACGACAATAACAAAAAGTTTGACCTAGGATCTTTATTCAGAACTGCCTTGGCTTTTAAGGCCATATTTGTGTAAGTTAGGATACTATAGAAGTCACATACCGCCAGTATTCGAGTCCTGAACCTGAGTCACTGTAGCACTTGAGGCCATGGATACTGAAATAATTGCCCTGCAGTGCAAACAATCAGATTAAAGCTGGGGAGCACAGCAATCCTTTACTGCAAAGATGAGGATAGTGTCTTAATCAAAACCTTGAATCGTGAGAGAATGCTAATGCCGTTACAAAACCAAGATGTGCTCTTTTCACAACAGCCTGAGTCTTCATACTAGTTGAATTTAAGACAACAATGTCTCCTTCGCACGTGCCGCTGCATTTCAATCATTCCAATCAGAAAAGGACCGTAGGAGTGCCTCTGAATGAAGTGACAAAACACATAGTAACCATTCAAAGTAAAGATGGAATGAACCCACATGTTCACGAGAATGCATCGACTGATGTAATCGAAAGCAAACATTAACCTAAAAGGCATGACTAAGAGGCAAAAAGCATCATTCAATATCATTCGATGTAGATCTAGCCTCTAGGCAATGAGATCAGCAAGTTTTCAATCAAGACAAGTATGTTAATTAATCATTTCAACCAAACTGACAAATATTTTCTCATCCGTTTGCCCATAACCCTCTAAGTATGATGGTTTTAAAGCTAAACAGCATCCTCTTTTCAATGAGCGCTACTTAACTCAATTGAGCTCCAATGGCAAGTATAGAATCCGAATCTTAGACTTAGGGCCAGATTTGCGAACGTGCCTAAACAGTAAACGAATTACTTGATGAGTATAATGCATAGATTATATACTCTTTCTTCTCCACATTAATTATTAGAATTTTCAGTGCTCCAGATTCATCATGCAGAGAAATTAGCATCCAAGTGTCTACAGCATGTTGTTGCTGGCTGTCGATGCCAGATCCAAAAGCCCTTCACACTACAACCTGCTGAATGAGGATATCTTCATCCCAGGGCACACGAATTTGAGAAACTAGGGCACTTTCTTAAGAGGTCATAATATAGCAGTAACGCCATACTGGTTTTGCCCCACTCTCACTTTATCACGGTTGACTGCAAACCCCACCCTTTCTCTCCTTTACCATACAAAGTCATACCTCACAGATTCAGTTAGTTACAGTTTCGTTCCGCTTTTTTTTTTATAATATATGAAAGCAAAGCACATTTTTATCGGTCTTGTTTTCGTACCCATCTAAATTGTAAAAAAAACTGCAATTTTATTTTCTCCATGCATATAATAACCCAATCAGAATATCAACCAACAGGTTCTTTCTCAGTTTTCCACTTATTGATCCCGTTACTGATATCAAATGGCAGAACTTCAGGCCACTTAAACAACTTAAGCAGACGAGTTTCATAATTTTAGTCGCAACTTTACAGCCACATTTCAAGACTACTTGAAAGATGTGGAGAAGTATACGAGCAGACTTTCGTTCCATACATGACACCTTTGCTTCTTTGAATATTTAATAAGAGATATTCCATATCATAATATTCCAGTTTCTCCTATCCTTAGAGGCAATTGGTTAAGGCTCAAGGTGGGCTTCGTCCTCATGCTACTTAACCATCACCAAGTTGCAGGAAGTGGTCACTCTTTTCAGTAATATACACCAACATTATACAGGAAAATCTAGTAAACTGAAGTTGCTGCTTCTCACTGGCAATTCAGAAAAAACAAATTCTATATTGAAATTTGAAAAAGATATCAATCTTCTTATATTTCATTTGGAGTAACAAATTCTGTTCAACTATCCAAGACTACTTGAAGGATGTCATCTAGTATCCTTAAAACCGTCCAATCCTTACATAGCAATTTTGTTTCATTGAAAATAGAAATAAGATATCCCATTTCCTACTATTGCAGGTTTCACTATCCTGTTAAGGCGCCTGATTAAGGTTCAAGCTAGGGTAATCATCACCGAGTTGCGGGGAGCATTCACTCATTTCAATGATGAACAGAAGCTTATATGATCAAGTTAATCAAAGCTGCTGCTTCTCACTGGCAATTAAAAAAAACAATCAATCTCCAAAATTTAATGAAGCCAAATGCATGAAAGCTGCATAAAAACAGATTTCCAAGAAGAAAATTATGACAAAGGCTGCCTAGTTCTTCTCATCAAATCAAATAACTTCTAAACTAAGAAATCGGTGACACATATAATGGCCACAGTCAGTTGTCACATGAGTTGAGACCATAATAACTTACACCGCAAGGAGTTTTCCATCTGCTGAAACATTAAATGCGATAACTGAATCACGAGCTACATGCTTGGAGCCAATTCTCCTCCACGAGGATGTGTTCCATGTCAAAATGCTTGCCCCTCGACCTATTTGAGAGTAGCAGAAAATATTTCAAATCAAAATACGGAAAGGAAACGTTTCGGTGAATACAAGATGAGGCCCTTGATGTTATCACCTGTGCCTGCAGTGACATACAAAACCTGCGTCCCATCACTACTTTGAGAAAATCTGCAAAACAGGAATGTTTCATCCTGAACAGAGCATAGGAAGCCCATCAGCCCCAAGAGCATGAAAGGGCAAAACAACTCTACTGACAATGGTAGCTAAGTAAATGTCCAAGAAAGATGTCCTTTATTTCGGTTATGCACCAAAAATATGTTAAGTTCGAGAATGATCGATTCCTGTAACTGCATTTATTTAGATTACCTTTCCCGGAAATGTTTCACCAATTCAAAAAAAAATTCCTAGCGGAAACTTGCTCGATGTGCATCCTTTCATTTCTAGATCCTAGTATAACCTTGTCTTATTTAGTTTGTTTCATAAATTAGGTCCATCCAAATCCAACAACACATACAGAGTTCTCACAGACTACCAAGGCAACAAATTTTTCTGCAGTCATATGAATCTGCGTCAATGGTCTGTCTTTATAACTAAAGAACACGTGCATGAGTTCAAATTCTGATCCTCTGTAGAAAAGTTGTAAATTGCCTCATTAGACAGGAAACCCATATGTGCTTTTGGTTGTAGTTGTACTCTGAAAATTCAAGTCCACTTGATTGCTTGGTAAACATGAAAAGATGTACAGGTATTAGAGATACCACAGCACAGCGATGAACCAGATCTTATATGAAGAATCCAAGAACTTCGCTTGAAAATTTTAAACAAGAAAAGGGTTTCATGAGCTCACATTCTCTTTTGGCAGAGAAGCTACGGCAACTGAGGAAGTTAGATCCCAAACCCGACAGGGGCCAGATTTCCTCAAGGAGGCAAGGAACTTTCCATCAAGGCTGCAATGAGGAGTGTGTTGTACTGAGATTCTATAATTAAGGGCCACAAGAACCTTATTCCTACTTTTTATTGAGCTTTCCAATCAAGAATTAGTTAATGCTACAACAACAAAAAAAACCTGAAAGCAAGGTCTTTTAGAGAAGAAGGAGTCTGGGCCTCATTGAGAATAATGTCCATGCTGGGCCACTTAAAGACCATTAGCTTGCCATCCTGTACTGCACCAAAATACACATCATCTGTAGTGCTTTTCCAATGATTTTTTCCCAAGAGTAAAGCAGAACCATTATATTTATATCAAGCTTCATCAGATCATTCCCAATATCGATGTAAACTACACAGCATTTTCCACACTATTATAAAAAAAGACCACAAAAATACGCATGAGCTTGGGTATCCAATGCAAATGGAAGTGTTTAGAATCTCCAAAAAGTCACTTCACTTCTTTTTCCCATCGTTCTTGATCATTAAATGACCATTACAACGAGAATCAGGTTAAAAAAACCTTTAATTTTTTCATGACCAACCTTTGAATTGATTAACCTAGGTCAAGGGTTCAAGAAAGCATCCAAGAAATTAATCTAGCTAGCCATGCAAACTGTAATACGCTACAAAGAGATAAACTACTGTCCAAAATTAAAATTTTTCTAACTAACCCATATCTTTCAGGGGGGAAAAACGCATGACACCGCATTAGCAGGCCAATGCAAAAGTATCTTTCCATCTCTCCCCATATTACGAGTACTTGTGCCATATATCCATCTATCCTCTTCGCATACAACAGAAAAAAGAAATGTCTACCTCGCCACCGGCAGCAAGCAAAGAACCATCATGGCTAAATACTAATGCTAACTGTTGTCCAGCATTTTCTAACTGCCCGAGCACTTTCTCTGACGTCTTAAGGCCCAGTTTATGATCTTCAGCGTTTTCAGGATCCTCCCATTCAAACAATCTGTTTAAGCGAAATAAACATGTTTAATTCCATTATCTACCAGCAATAACCACAGCGCAATTTAGCCTTTTCCTTTCAATAAAGAAGAGATTATAAGAGGAAGTGGAAAGGAAACGAAGGACATAAATTTCTTGACATTGCTGAAAGTGTATCATGAGATACAACTTTCCAAAACATATAACTCACAGTTGATTGGCTTACCTAAAGCTTTAAGTAGTTTGCCAAAGTTACCACTAACATTAAGCTAGTGTCAAGTGACCGCAATGCTCATTGGAATGGAAAGGTGGCAAGAAAACTTACCTACAACCTTTTGGTAACGCGCAAACGACACCATCTCCTTGTGGGTGAACAGCCATCCTGTAAGGCAAATCGGAACCAGTGCCAAGCTTAGCAACCTGAAGTACACAGGATAGAGTAAGGGCTCCAGTTATGAGACTAATAACCCAGAAAGTGCAGATGGTAAACGGAATTAAATTTCACATACAATGAATAATGCACTGGAAATAACTATCCAATTACAGAGACATGAAAAAGCAAATGATTCCCCAGCATCAACGTCAACATCAAAGCCAATGGTGAAGAGAAACGATCGAGGACAATGTATGACTCAGAACTAATCACTGGCTAAAACACACAACAACTCCGATCCAGTTCAATATCTAGTCGAACATGAAAAAAAAAAAAGCACCTTTAATTTTCTAGACAAAGACTCACCCTCCTGTGATCCAAAAACTCCGAACGAAATGTGCTACGTCCATTCATTCCACAATTCAGAGAAAGTTACGGCGAGACTCCAATGAACCGCGAAACAAACGCAGCCGACTAAACTCAAGCTACCTAGACAGCGCAGATTCGCCGCTTCACCGTGTTTTAATCAACCGAATAAAAGTGACCAGACGAGAATCAGACGCCCAAACCGAAATGCCGACACGGCAAATCACGCAGACCGATCAAGGGATATTCCAGATCTTACAGGCTGCTCGGAGAGAGAACCGGAGGCGAAGTCGAACTCGGCGAGGAGGACGGCGTTGGGGATGCCGCTGCTGCCCTCGCCGCCGCCGCCCGCGAGGACGAGGTAGCTGCGATCGTTGCCGTCGCCGGACCGCTCGCCGTCTGTGCCGCCGCCTCCTCCTCCTTCCGCCTCTAGCTCCGCCGGCGGCCCGCGCGATCGGAAGCGAGACCGGATGCGGTCGAGGGGAGCCCAGGCGGCTCCGTAGAGAGGTACGCCGTACTGCTGGGAATTCTTGCTCTGCATCACGGATCCGGTCGCGTTGCTCTGCTTCCTGATCTGAAAGAGCTAGCGAGAGAGAGAGGGAGCGTATGCTATTTTAACCGTACTGCTTCTGGTTTCTAATAGGAGTCCTTCGAATTTTTGATGTATTTTAATCGTGTCCTCCCGGCTCATGACGCAGGTAAAAATTTCACACTCGTGGATCCACGGCACCCGTCTTCTTCGTCGCCACGGATTTATTTATTTATTTATTTTTTGATAACCGAGGTGTCCGCAAATTACCATACAAGACTCGACTATTCCTCTTAGACTAAAGACAAAGAACTCCACCACCACTACAGCCCACTTAAATCACAAGCCACAAATTTAATCGAACCCTGACCAATGCACCTAACCACACAATCCCAAATACGTCATAATCAACTGAGCTACCCATGAATGAATTATTCTTTTTTCTTTTTTCCTAAAAAAGAACCCACTTTTTATGATTCACTGCTAAAGAAATCCCATATGTACAAACAGAAATAATGTCCATCAATCAATTCATAAAAATATTGTATGATCTACAGCTCGTTAGAGTGTTCTAGAGCCACAGATTCAGCTATGACAAAAAATGTAAACAAGTTACAATAGCATTAACGAGGCAAATTAGCTAGTTTATGCTGAATCTAGTAAAAGAGAAGAAACGTAATTAATCAACTTTGCAATTCTAAAAAATACGGTGCTTTGACTCTCAATACTTTCGCGAAACTTCAACATGAACAGTTATGAAAAAAAGAAGTTTCGACTTTTTTGTTGCTTTTATTGATTTTTGACGTGAACTAGAGAGCTACATAGAAGAAGGAATTTCGATTCACTCATCTTTTTTGTGGAGCTTAAACGTGAATAGAGAATTATGGAGGAGTCGTGAAACTTCATAAGGCAACGAACAATCATGATTGTGTAATGCATTCAATATTTAGAGTGATCATGATCCGTTTTTCTTTTTATAGCAAAAAACTTCAAAAGGTCAAGTAATCAAACAAGATCCGGTCTTTTTTCTCCAACGCGCAAAATAAATATTATGTTGATCACAATATTCGCAACCCAGAATAACACATTCGTTTCTACCTTTTTTATAAAGACAACATAATCTCGAGCAAGAAAATGAGTCCACACACTACTCAAAATATCTTCTCGCGTTAGAAAATTAACTAGTAATGTAGTCAAATCCATTTGATAGGGGTATCGGGATCCAATAATGGGTGAAAATAGTGCGAGCCTTTATTTTTTTAGTTTTTCTTTTAATTTTTTTCTTTATTAAAAAATCTTGCGTTGGACCTAAGTAAGTCCTTAAATTACTTTATCTCGGGTTTCGTTCGGACCTCGGGATCGCCACGATATAAAGTAAAGAGAAGGTATTCTCATCTCCCAGGGAAGAAAAAGATTTGGGAGAAATTGTGGGCATGGTGTGCGGGCACTAGCGCGTTAAAATAAAGAACATACCCACGAAGCCCGCGCGTCACTGCAATGCAAATGGACAGGCCGCGAAAGCCTTTGTCATATCTTCGGCTCTATTTCTTTGGTGAGGTTACCTCTTAACCGAATACCAATGATTCAATGAGAAAGCCTTGGTAATGTAGTCAAATCGATGTGATAAGGGGACGTAAGGAGCCAATAATGGGTGAAAACAGCGCGAGCCTTTTTTATCTTTTGGTTTTATTATTATTAGTAATTTAAAATTTTTTTTCCTTTAATAAAAAACCTTGCATCTCCAAGTGAAATATTTTCGCAAAAATAAAAAAAGGAAGCTCTAGCCCAAAAAAAAAAAAAAAAAAAAATACTTTCCTCCTCCCGTCAAAAATCCTAACTGGCCGCACCACCTTTCTTCTCCCCGAACCACGTGCTCCCTCCCCTCCCTCCCTCCCTCTCTCTCTCTCTCTCCAAACCACAACGAAGCATCGAAACTCAGGAGCGCGCGAGCGCGAGAGAAATCGAAATCGGGCCATCATCGGAGAATCCACGGCAGCTCCGCCGGCGATGTAACGATCCGGCGAGCGGGAAAGAGAGCGCGCGAGGGAGGAGCAGCAGCAGCAGAAGAAGAAGAAGAAGATCCGACGCGCTGCCCCCCCGCGCCGGATTCGATGCACGCGTACAATCGGCTCCCGAGCAGCGGACACTCGACGCCGTCCCCGCCGGGCTCCCCACTCCGGTCCCCGCGATACCGACATAGCCGGTCCAAGGGCCGGTTCACCCCGGCCCAGCCCGGCCGGACCCTCGCCCAACGGGTCGCCTGGCTCCTCCTCTCCTGCCTCCTCCGCAGGCAGGGCGTCTTCCTCTTCGCCCCGCTCATCTACATCTCCGGCATGCTCCTGTACATGGGCACCGTCAAGTTCGACGTCGTCCCCGTCATCAAGCACCGCCCCGCCCCGGGCTCCGTCTACCGCAGCCCTCAGCTGTACGAGAAGCTCCGCCCCGACATGGACGCTGATAACTCGTCGGCCGATGCGGTCAGTGGCTTGGGATTTCTCTCCTTCTCTCTCTTCTGGCGTGATCGATCCGTTTGGTGTTGGATTTGGAGGTGGTGTTGGATTTGGAGGCAGTCTTTGAGAATGCCTGTGAGATTGTTGTGTTTGCTAGCCGAATTATCGGGTGAATTTGGGTGAATCCGTGTGTAAGTGGATGGCGAGGAATGAGTGGATCTTTCGGCTTTTAGGTTCGAGATTTGATCTAGTCCGTGTTTTGTCTGCCAGTGATTTTGAATGTGGTGTGATAAAATGTGAGTGGGAGGATGGAATGATTAGAGCATTACATGGCATTGCATTGCATGCTGTAGGTACAGATTTAGACTTCCAAACAATACTCTTTTTTGAATTTGGAATTTATTAAGCTTTAGCCCAGTTCTATTTCTAAATTCTCTTCTGTGCTTACGGTTCTCTGGTGTTCGATAAATTTTTCAAGCGTAAGTGGTTGACAGTGTGTACTTTGTTGCATCTTCAAGGTTAGGACAATTTTAGCCATTATTCAAGGCAATGGTGACAGTTGGCAACATAATTGTGGACAAATTGATGGACTATGTTGCCGGTTATGACATTTTTTTTCGTACTGCACATTGTGTCAATGGGTTGCTTTGAATTTCTTGTGGTCATGAAAGCATACAGTAGATAAGACAAATCTACTTCTTTGAGAATCATCTCTGGGTTCGTCTGGTCCATTGCACCCTGTTGCAACCTTTTGCTGTTTTAAGGAGGATGTGAAACTTCTCTAGATCCTCAGACTATTGAATTTTTGCTTGGTCACGAAACAATGCAAGTTTTACTATATCAAATTACGATTTGTCTAGAGTGGATTGACTTCTATTACTTTGGAAATGCACCTTCAAACAAGTTGCCGTGTCTTATTTTGTTAGTGTATTAATGCTGAATTTGGTTTTGAGGAGATTTCTCTTAGCCTATCCTTCTCTGTCGTGAGTGCTGCAATTGCTTTCTTTTCCATAGCACACCCTTCCGTGCATGATTGATGACAATGTTGTTGTTAATTCAATCTAATTTTCGAGTTAAATTTACTGCATCTGTAGCAGGAGTTACTAACCATTTTCTTTTCAGTATAACAGATCTGTCCTAACTTTTGGAAATTCTTCTTTCAGATCTGCTTGTTTGAAGTTTTGCCGTGTGCTGTATATTCCTGTATTTCCTATTCTTATGCTGCTAGATATTGATGAATGTTTTCATTTAAACACAGATATCAACTATATGGAAACACTCCTATAAAGGTGGTGAGTGGAAACCATGTATCAACCAGTCTGCTGGAGGTAATAACTTTATGTCCAAGTTATTTCTTGGTCATTCATGCTGTGTTTCTTTTGGCCCCTGATGTTACCATTTTTCACGGGTTTTCTTGTTCCATCCACCTTTGTTTACATTTTGTTGAGCATTATTTTTCAAGGTTTGACTTGTTCATCTCGCATCTCTTCCTTTCACATTGCTTGTGAGTTTGGCTGGGCTTGGAATTTTCTTTTCATTTTCTCATTATGATTTTCTTTTCTTTTATTTTCTATAGTACATTATGATCTTCATGTGTGCTTGATTTTTTTGGTCAACTTTTTGATGAATATCCGACGTCAGTGGACTTGTTCAGATCTTTTATAACTCCTTTAAGTATTTGCTTGCTGCTTAGTTATATACATGTGCCCGGGGACACAGCTAATTCTTGAATGAGTTCATGATGGTTTTGCATGTGCTTTCACGATCTCCCCAAAAATAAATAAGCTCTGCTCTAAACTTATCATTTTCAATCCATTTATGTGAATATTGATGATAATAAGCCTGAGTTATGAATTTTGTTTAGCTAAGATAACTTTTTTTCTATCAATGGGTGGCAGTGAACCTTCTAGAACATAAATGGATGTTTTTGATTATTGGATCCTTGAGACTTTGAATACTATTGAAGATTGTCTCCTGCTTTCTACAGATTTAAGGTTTTCATACAATCTTGATCATGATTACTTCTGAGATGACATAGACAAGATGCTGCCGGAATAAAGTTTCGTTGCTGAATATTTATAGGATTATGAGCCTTCAAGTAGATCTTCTATCAGGTCGTATGGATATTAGAAATTGGTGGTTTAGAATATGCTGACGGATAAGTTATAAGATCTGTCAGTGAATATGCCTCGCTTCCAGCTTTCTATCCTTGCAATACATTTTCTTTCACCTACCGCTCGAAAGCAGTTGTGGAATTTTTTATTGTTGGTAGCCGTTAGTGTTTAAATGAATCTTTGGATATATCATCAAATTTGAAGCCGACTCTACCACTACCAGTGTGTATGGACTCGTGTTTTTCATCCTTCTAAGCATGTATCACAAGCTAGGAGAACCTCAGCAGACATATATTTTTTTGTCTCAACTTGTATGTTATTCAACAATTGATCTTTTCTTGGTTATTGCTGTGACCTCTTATAGGTTTACCTGAATCAAACGGTTACATATATGTTGAGGCAAATGGTGGTTTGAATCAGCAGAGGACTTCGGTATGTTCATCTTAAACCTTATATACCATATACACTGAGTAATTTTGTTTTATTGCTGCTCCCTTGTGAAGTTATGAATGTAATAACCTCAATA